GAAGTAATTATTTTTATGTAAATTATGGACTTACGTAAATCAAATTGTCTTTAAATTAAGTAGTGGTGGAAGAATTATTGCTGAATTTTTAAAAGGTAAGCTTAAATATTAATGCAATACTTAAATGCAGTGATCAATTTTGAGTTCTTCTGTAGTTTATTGTTGCCTATCCCATATTTTAACAGTATGCCTTGCAAAATTGCTATCAAGGCTGCAGTGAGGAAAAGAAAGTCCTGTGCAAATGAAAACCCAGATCAAATGACAGCCAAGAGAGCTTCCAATGCTGAGAATATACAAAGACTAGGGATTCTCAGACTCCTGAAGAAGCTGATGGCACAATCAAACCCCTCTGCAGAAGCTAGCTTAATTGATAGCCAATAGGACAGCTTTTAAGTTAGTCCTGAATAAATCCATTAAAAGGGATGGCTTCATGTTGTTTAGAAAAAAAATTTTATATTTTAAGTATAATCCTCTGAAGTGGGTCTTGATTCTTCTTCTTCTTATATAATGTCCCTTCAGTATATAGGCGATCACAACACTCCACAACCTCCTACCCTTTTCTTTTGTCTTGTAACGTTTGTCTCTTTGCCAGGCTGGTGACCTTCTGTTCCATCATCCATTCACCCACGTTCATCAGGTAGGTGGTCTGCTGCTTTTCATGTCTCTTTTGCCTTTGATAGGCCCTCTGAGTGTCAAATTATCCAAACCTACCTTCCTCATTATGCCTTAGAAATTCCAGCTGTCTATTTCTGATCCTGAGTATAAGTGTCCTTTTTGTTTCTATTTCCTCAAGACTTTTTGTTGCTTTAATGCTCTATCCATGATATTCTCAGCATCCTTCTGTAGAACCACATAATATATGCAATATATGAGGATTGAGATTATTTAACAGCTCAGCAGTGTTTTGTTTCTGTTGTATTGTGGTGTTCTATGACGCTTGATCAGTAGTCAAATTCTGCTTGTCTCTTAGTTTACTAAACACTTTATTTTTCTTCTACTTAGCATAGGCACAATCTTATTTAGCAATCTACTACACCTCCCTGAACTGAAGAGGTTTGATGCATTTGGTTGTTCTCAAACTTCTTCTACAACTTTTTTCCTCCTCTCCCCTTCAGGTTTATGTCCTGTTCTTTTTAATGGAGGTCTTGGTCTTATTTCATCTTCTGTTCGTGGACAGGATATTATCGCAATATAGAAAGATATGTACAGAAATCCCCAAAATGTGCAGAAATAAAAAAATTTTGACAAAGGAGACTGCATTCATAGCCTAAGGTGACTAAATCATGGTTTTGGGTTTATATCAAGCCTGCAAGCATTAATGACATGAAACTATTTTTAATTTTAGTAGACTCATTTTCAGGACAGCCAGAATTTGTTAAAGATTGAATAACAACTACAACAAAACAAATACTAAGAGTGCTATTTTATAGAAATGAGGTCCCTAAAATATTGGTATTAGATAACACACCAGAATTTTGTGATGAAGTTCTATGTAATTTTTAATTTCCTCTGCATAGCTGTTATCTCACAATGCACATCATCACGTACACTTTTTAAATATTTCTTAATGTTTCTGATGGTGCTATCACATCTCCATTGCATAAAACACCATTTTCAATCATTAATTTATGCTTTATTTCTTTATAAGATCTTTCAGTTTTGGAACAACGACTTTGTCTTTCTTCTTATTCTTCAACAATCATTGCTTAATATTGGTTCTTGTAGAGTTTCTAATACCAATTTTGCAGAGTTAATATGTTTGTTTCAACCCAATGTAATATTTCTTCATCCGGGATTTTCATTTTTTTTTCTTTTTGATCTTTATTAAATTGTAACCTTGACAACATGATGGCATGTCATATTATATTTGCTTTTATGTACACGACATCAAACTTATAAGCCATTAATTTTATGGCCTATCTTAGAATCCTGGTAAAAGTAACTTTTGGTAGCTCCTTTCTGGGATTAAAAATAAACTCTAGAGGTTCATGGTCAAACTTTAATAGGAACTTCTTTCCTAATAAGAATTGTCAAGCTATGTCTGCGCTCCAGACAACGACAAATGCCTCTTTTTCAATATTTGAATAATTTATTTCTGCTGCGGTCAATCTTCTTGAAAAGTACATTATTGGATGGCCTTCTTGTAATAAAATTTCTGACACAGCTTGCTCATTCGCATCTGTAGTTAACGTAACCTCATTTCTGGGATCAAAGATTTTTACAATCGTTTTTTCTGCAAGTATCTCTTTTAAATCATTGACTGTTAAGCGTTGCTTTTGAGTCCATTTGAACTCACTATTCTTTTTCTGCAGTTCAGCAAATGGTTCTATTAAGTTGCTCTATTTTGTAGGTATCTATTATAAAAATAAACCAATCCTAAAAATGCTTTTAACTTTTTATTAGTAGGTATAGATACCTCTGAAATTTTCTTAATTTATTTTGGATATGATGCAATGCCATCTTTTGAAATTTAATACACTAAATATGATATTGTATCACAATCAAATTCACATTTGTTTCTGTTTCTTATCATACCCTCATTTTTTGACTCATTTAACATGTTCTGTGTTTTGTCACAATTCGTTTTACTAATTTTAACGTATGCACTTTAGAATATCTATACCGAGTAGTGCATGAAGTTTTTTTACATTCCTCTATTGTAATAGGAATAATTTCAAACTGGTTACAGGTTATATAAAAGATCCATCAAATTGCCTGAATTTAAGATGGCTTTTTCTCAATTTGTACCCAGAAATCTTTTAGGATTAGAGAGAGTTAATATTCACTTGCACTGGAAATATCAGGTCATTTAATTTAATTTTTTGAGAAGAATTCTTTTCCTTAGGTCTTTGTCTTTTTCCACTTTTTCTGTACTGTTTATTTTTTTTTTTAACTTTGCATACAGACTGAAAACGATTTTTTTTCAGCATTTACCACAAATTTTTCCAAAAGCAGGGCACCTTTTTTCTGTCAATTTCATGCTTATAGTATTTACATTTCTTGTGTTCCTTTTTTATACTGGAAATTTCTCCATTGTCCTCAGTAGAATAATATTTTTTTATCAATTCCTCATGTTATATAACTTTCACACATGCAGCTAGAAAGAAAATATTGCATTCATCTCATTTTTTTTTTTAGAAATTTGTTTTTTGTACTATAACAAGGTTTTTTTTTAGGCCATAAACTTCTTTTTATAATTTCTGAAATTTTAATGAAAGTCAAAATTATCATTTGTTTGGGGTATGTCATAATGAAAATTTTCATTATACCTTCACAAACTGACAAATCTAGAAAAAGATCAATTATTTTTTCCTCTTCTCACCTGGCTATCTTTTCATTTTTTAGCCCTAGCCTGGGCTGTAAAGCACTGGATCCAAGTCTTGACAAATTCTGGTTCATCTAAATAACTTAAATGTCCTATCGGTGATGCCATATTGTTGTATTGTATTGTTCTACGACACGTGATCAGTAGTCAACTTCTTGCCTGTCTCTTGGTTTACTATACACTTTATATCTTTTCTATTAAACATATACAAATAGGCACAATCCTATTTATCAATTCACTACAGATTCTAATGAAATTTTCCTGTTTCTTAATACTTTGCTTAGCTTTTGGAATGCATTTTTTTACCATTCCTTTGCACATTTGGATTACAGTGTTATATTTTCCATCCTCTGTTAAAAGATTTTCCCAAGATTTAAACTTCTGTACTTGTGTGATGTTGACACCTGCAATTTGTAGTTTGCATCTTGGGTTTTTTCTCTTGCTGACAACCATACATTCTCTCTTCTTACAGTTGATGATTAGCATTTTGAGTACGTATGTAAAATAGTGATGTTTTTGTTGTTTAAAAGAAATCATCTGAATATTTTGTTTTGTCCTCCAAAACAAATACAAAATATTACTTTTTTAATGGATATACTCAAAATATACTTTGAACACAACATTATTATCAGATATTTACAGTAAATGCTTAATTTAATATACTCTTTTGAATAAGCACCCTAGGGCTACTAAACAAATATGATTGAGAAAGGAAAGTGGGTGTGGATTTTGATTTGGGAATCTAAAGACAAGAACTTAATTAAATCAAAATATGCTTTCAATAAAATTTTTAAATAATCACCCCAAATGGTTAAAATTATGATAGTTTCTGTTCATCTTATCAAAGAGGAGATAAAAAAAACTAAACTAAAATGTTTCAGCTGGATACAGATTTCATAAACAAGCCAATGACTGAAATTAAAATAAATACTGTAAAATGCATTTGAAAAGAAGCTGAATTAGAGAAATTAGTAGTTAAGCAAAGCAAAAGTTGCTTTCCAAAAGCTAAGCAAAGTATTATGAAACAGGAAAATCTGTGTTAGAAACAAGGAAAAGGATACTCAACTGTTATATAACATCAGTCCTCCTATATGGTGGGAATGTGAGACAATTTCCTAACAGATGAAGAAGAGATTTGAGGTGATAAAAATGTGGTTCTACAGAAGGATGCTGAGAATAGCATGGACTGAATATGTTAGCAGAGAAAAAGTTTTAGAGAAAATGGAAAGAAAAAAGGACATTTACACATAGAATCAGAAAAGAGACAGCAGAAATTAATGAGGAAATAGATCTTGGAAAATTTGAAAACTCCTAAGACATATTCAAGGCAAGAGAGATAGAGGAAAGTAGCACATAGCCTAAGAAGCTTTTGTGTAAATGGATGGCAGAATAGGGATTAGAAGACAAAATTTACTAAGAGCTGCAAAGGGCATGAAATTGTCTAGGGCCATGATTGTCCACATCCTGAAGGTGGTTTACACATAGAAGAAGAAGAAGAAGAAGAAGTTAAAATCGTGCTATGCTCTCATAGAATTGGTAAAAAAACAAAAAGACAAATCAAAGATTGAAATAAAGAATAGAGTTTAAAAATAGTGCAAAAGTATTTGAATAAAGCTCACTGGATTCTAAATGGCTTAATAGAGAAGAAAAATTGCATGGATTTTGGGATACTTACATTGCCAAGGTAAACCTCTTCAATGAATAAGACAGAATAGCAGGCACTGAGAAGACAACAAACATTTGATTATTATGAAAGGTTAAAAGTAACTGCTGATTATTATTATTATTATTATTATTATTATTACTAATTACACAATATTTTGACAGATTAAAGGCAAGAGAGGAAAACAGTGTGTAACCTACCTGGCAAGCTTGAGTGAATGGATGGTGGATTAGATTTTGGGAGAGACAAAATTTACTGAGAGCTACAAAGGACAGAAAATCATGGAGAGCCATGATTGTCAACATTCTGAAGACATATGGCACACAGAAGAATTTAAGGGATGTAAAACAATGTTATCTGTGTGGTGTAAGGGATTGCAACTTGGATTCAAATGAGCAATCAGAGAGCGGATTTCAGATTCCAGCCAAGCTTGTTACATTCACTTACGTGTAAATACCCTTGGGAAAGGTATGAATACATCTCTTCTCCTCCTCCACCTATGAGTTAAATAGCAGAATGAGTTATGTTCTATAGCCTTGATTGGGAACCATTCTAGAGATAGTGACCCCCCCCCACCACCACCAAAAAAAATCAAGTCTGCGCTACCCATGGGGATGCAAAATCAATCTTATGCCACAGACAGGTAGGCATCAACACATGAAAATGCATAGAGACTAAAATATCTGTTGTGTGAGTGTGTATTTTGATGTATGATTTGGAGGCATTTATTTTTTTTTTTTTTTTAAATCAGTGATGGTGGTATGTAGCTTCTATGAGTAATTTGTCCCATACTCTCTTCAATTTGGCATTCAAAGCTTCAATATTTTGGTATGGAGTAGAACAGGCCTCACTCTTAAGAACTGTGAACAGCGCACGCTGCCGTCAATGATAATCCTGAAAGACTATGACATGCGGTGAAGGTTAAAGGGAACTATATCAAGTGAGATTTTCTGGTGTTATTTAGAGGATTAATCATCATCATCACATTGACTTTTGTAATCATGGGGGGGACAGGGGATCTGAATGCAGAAGCCATACTGATTCTCCTCTACAACAGTCCATCAACAGCAGCCATCAGCAATTAGTCATACTTGTCCATTGTTTGACATTGTCCAACCAGTTTTTGCGTTGACGTCCTCTCTTATGTCCACCTTCGATTGTGTCTTGCACAATGGTCTTGCACAGGCTGCTGTGCCTTGTAACATGTCCAGACCAGATTAATACTTTGTGTTAAAATTGCATGCTGATATAATAAATTTTTCAGGAGTTTTGTAACAGTATTCATGCTACACCCTGTATTATACATTGTTTGGTGACTATCAAACTATAAACAACAACGTAATGACCAAAAATTTAGAAATATTCATTTGAAATATTCTAACAGCATTTATACCACTCCCTGTAAAACCTATATCTACTAAGTTTCAGGAGCCATGATTTTCTTTCAAGAAAATCATTTTGATTGGTTGTATATTCACAAAATTTTGCAATAAAAAAAATGTTTGTTTTGTTTATCTTTCTTCTATTTAAAAAAAAAAAAAATCTGTGCAACTTAGAGAATACACTAATAGATGAGTAAGGGTGCTAAAAAGCTTTTGGCTCAGGCAAGAAGTCCAAAATATTTTGCTATTTGGTCAGATTTTCTCCTCTCACACTTTCCGCATGTGGAAATCTTCTTCCAACTTCTTGCTTTCCAGTCAACATTAATCTTTAATAATTTAAATGTAATCTCAATTGTTAATTTCTGCCTTTGTAATTCCTTTTCACTGACTGTTCTCTCTCCTTAATAATGTTTTCTTTTTCTCAGGTGTTCACACTCTGTAACCCACTTGCATATTAGTGGCTTTATTGCAGTACTTGGGATGAGATGATTAAAAAAAATTTTTTTTAAAATAAAAATGTGAGCCAGAACAAGAACTTTTCAGCACCTCTTGTAAAAAGTCACTGTGATTATACAACATTAAAAAAAACAAAAGTGGTGTATTTAAAATCATAAGTAGATACTATTATACCATTTTTCTAATTGGACACAAATACGTTGCAACTAGTAGACTGTGTACAGATTTAGGCAGCAATTGTTTGCGGAAAGAAGTTTTATTAAAAACAATAAGCATTCTGTCCATTGAATTTGTCAATCATATTTGTCAAACTGCTAATCACCTTCCATAATCCTTAGAAGCTGCAGATGCAAAAAATATCCAAAGTTGAAGCCCTGTACAAGCTTTCAACTCACATGAGTCATCTTCAGGAGTTATTAAATCAAAAACTTGCACAATGCTTTCAGTTCAGATACTTTTTGCATCTGCAGCAACCAGGTTTGCAGAAGTGGATTTGCAGTTTGGAAAAAATGGTGGATAAATTTAATGGACATAAAATGAGTATAAATATGCACACTAGTTTATATATGTGTGTTTTATATATATATATATATATATATATATATATATATATATATATATATTCAATAACCCAATTTTATATGAAAGTGAGAAGCAGGAGAACCCAGTCATGGCATAAACAATTTCTGCGACCACATCACTACGTACATCTGGCAACTTAACTACCCAGACTGCAACCAACCTTGATCATTATGTGTGGGGTGCAACTGAGTGAGAGACCATCAAAACTCCTTGTAAGACCAAAGATGAACTAAAGGCAAGAATTACAGCAGCATTCATCTACTTAAACAAGGAGACTGTCCAGAAGAGTTGCAGAAAATTCAAAAGTCATCTGGAGGTCATGATTGAAGCCAATGGTAATTTTATTGAATAAATTTCTTCTTTGGTATTTCAAGATATTTTTGCGTAATTTTGGCAAATATATCTATTAAAATGACATATTAGTGTTATTTTCAATCATGCTTAATTAAGATGACAATTTATCCATCGCAACATTATATATATATATATATATATATATATATATATATATATATATATATATATATATGCAAAATATACAGACAAACCTCTCATCTACAGACTCCCCCATCAATGGACTTTGGATGCAACAGACAAGATCTCCAGGCAAAATAACCTGCAGGAAAAAAAACTTCCAAATTGTCAATGATGTATTTCAAAATTTGTGGGCTTAGCAGAATGAATTGTATTAGTTCTCAAAGTGATCACTTGGCGGCAGTGGTGGCCCTTTCAATTGTAAACAAAGATGGGTGTACAGTATATAAAGTATGATACATTAGTGTGTGCATGAGAAAGTAGCTGTGAGAAACCTATTTTTTTATTTTGATTAATATATCTATATTAAGTGTATATGTATTTATGCCATATATACATGTTTATAGTATTTACATTATGATCATAACTACTGCTAGATACTATAGTGGTTTTATAACTCAAAAATAATCCCTTCCCATCTATGGACCATCAGTTTTAACGGACCACCCCTCCCCACTTTTATTTCATTGATGAGGGATTTGTTTGTATATGTATTTTTTTTCTTAAGATTTCACAAGTACACAGACTGATAAATGTTAACACACTGTATAAACTAAAAATTAAACAGTTGACACAACCAAGACAATCACCCACCCACCCCCCAACCAGCCACTGAAAAAAAAATCCAAGTTATTTGGTCAGAGTTTGGGGCAGAGATTGGTCTGAGAATTTTTCAGCACCACTTTATATATGGGGAGGTGCTGAAAAATTGGGCTTGTTCAGAAACATGGATGAATTCCCAATTTTTTTTTCCGTATTTACTGGTGTTTTGTTAATTGTATATGAAAAGTGGGGGTGCAAAGTTCTTGGCCCGATTCATATAACAAGATCTGATGAAATGACCAAACATCCAATTTTTTTTTGTTTTGAAAGGTTTTCTTTGTGAGGCAAAGAATTTTTTAGTCTCACCACATATAAACACACACATGCATACACATACATATAAATGCTGAAGTGTAACACATAAAAAATAATAGCAAAAAAAAAGAAGCAATTATAAAAAAATAATGAACACCCAATTCTAAATTTTAAAAAAAGTAATAGCTTAATAAATGGACTTATTCATTCGTTTTCTGCAGCTTATCAACACTTTGCAGGTTATTTAAAGCCAGGAAATATATTTAGATTGTAAGAATTTTTTTTGAGATAATAAAGTTTTTAGATATATAAATCATACTAATTAACCCATAGCTGGGAGGAGAAGAGATGGCTTCATATCTTTTCCATGTGTATTTATGTGTAAGTGAATATAATGAAGCCAACTGTAATTGGAACTCAGCTCTCTGATTAACAATTCCATTATCCATTACACCACCTGCACATACAACCTGGTATTCCTAAGCAGTCACCCATCTAAGTACTGACCAGACATGGCATTGCTTAACTTCAGTGATCATACAAGAATTGGTGTTTCAATGTGATATGTCCGTAAGCAAATTAAAAATAATAAAATTTGGACTTAAATTTAAAGTTAATTATCTTTTTCCATTCTTTTCCATTTCCAAAATTTTCTGTTCTTTTCTCCCAAAATGGAGACTTCTACACATATTTGTGTTACACCTGTCATGTAGTACAGCAGCTTCACCACATTAGGCATTGCTGCTGGAGTTTATGGAGCAAATTGGTTTTACGCGGGTGGAGTTGCTACCCTTGACCTAACTGGTTTTGAATTCAGAGTTTACTTTCTCTGAGCATTGTTGCCAACCAAAGCTAAAGAATTCAGTCTAGTCTGCTATTTAACCCATAGCTGGGGAAAAGATGAGATGGATTTATACTTCTTGAAGGGTAATTATGTGAAAGTAAATAAAACAGCCTCAGCTGGAATTTGAACTTGACATACTAATCACAATTTTCGTACTGATAACCCCACGCCATGTGTGCATCTAATTCTACATGTAACACAAACAAAACTCATGCAAAGATAAAATGACACAGAAACAAATAAAAGTGACAAAACAGAGAATTAAAGACAAATTTTAAAGCAGAACAGTTTTTTTTCTATTTTTAATTTCAATCTTGTTTATCTTTCATCTTATTCTTGCTGTCTTTTATTGCAATAATCGGGATGTACTTTTTTTTTTTTTTGACAATCTCCAAATGTTTAGCACGATCAGACCAAAAACGGAGTACTGCTGCTATATCTGGGCTGAAGCTGCCCAATCCTGACTTTCTAGCTTTGACAGAGTTCAAAAGCATATATGCAGCCTTGTGGGTGATAAATTATTACCGACTCTGGAAATCCTTCCCCACAGGCAAATGCTGCAAGAATCTCACTACTCTATCGCTATTTCCATAGCAAATATTCTGACCAACTGCATTCCTTAGTTCAATCAGTTCAGACCTTCAAAGATAAGACCCACCCTGACATGTACCCTGGGACAAATAAACCCCATTCCTTTCATATCCCGTCAGTAAAAAAATTTAGGAAAGAAAAGATAATTATATGATATAAAAGCCAGAATATACAACAGCTAAAACATCATTAATATGGCAACAAAGATGAGGACAACAGTCCGAACAATGTAAATAGTAATAATTACAATACCTCATCTCAGAAATATAGATAGTTATATGATTTTATTGAACTTTCTGGAAATTACAGTATTTCTTTGCTTATAAGATGCACTGATGCATTAGATGCTCCCAAATATTTTGAAGAAAGAAATCGGGGAAAAAAGTTTTTTTCCTTGTACTTCAAAAAAAAAAAAAAAATCCAATATGTCATTATTTGGTAAGATTTGGGGAAAAGGGTTGGGCTGAGACATCTTATATAGAAGGTGCTGAAAAATTGGGCTCGTTCAGAAACAGTCTACATTGATGAGTTCACAATTTTTTTTTCTGCCTTTTCTGATGTCTTGTTAATTGTATATGAAAAGACAGCTGTAAAGTTCTTGGCCCAACTCACATAAAAATCATTGCCCTACCCACCATCCTCAATTTTACCTACTGAACAATATATTTCAGCATAAAAACCTGATTAGTCATGACAAATTCATCACAGACCAAGAAGAAATACTAACTCTATGGTAACTATTTAAAATGTACAGGAAGTCTTTGACTTACATCGAAGATCTGTTACTACAGCACAACATAAGCTGATTTTCATCATAGGTCAGAACTTCCCTACATAAGCACCTATGAGCAAGCTTTATTCTTGGGAGCCATAATAAAGAGCCAAAAAGCTCCCCAAAAAATGACACAAGTGAAAGATAGTAAATGTAACAAAATCTAATATAGCATATGGTGAATATAAGCCAGTGAATAAACAATACCATCAATACCTCAGATAGCACTGCATGACAACATATATTATGGAAGATGAAGCCATAATCACGAAATGCCATACATCAAGTCTGACATAACCTGAGGCCCTTCTGCAATAATTAGATGAGATGTTAAAGTGCATAATACCATTGAAATCTGAACCTTATTAAAGCCTGAAATCTAAAAATTTGTGACAATTTGATCACAAACCAGGACGGAGCATTCATTTCAAATTTGATAAATGTAAATTTGGATACGAAAATAAGGTTAAGTTTGATTTATATCAGCAATATTTTACACTGTTAAGCATTGTAAGTATGATTAAAATAACCAGCATGCTGTAACGAAAGTATAATATACAGTAGTATTATTCTTAAAGCATCAACCTTGAATGATTCTGCTTTGTAACCAGGAGTTTAAGAAATAGAGAAAGAATGTGTTACTTCAGCAATTGTTATGGCAGAAGGAATTGCATAAATAGTTTCTCTCAAAAACATTAATTTAATTTTGAAACACTGGACTTGTTTTACTTTCAAGGGCTCAGAATCCGGTATAACTGAAAAGGTAACACTCACCCTATATCCTAAAATTATAACTCCTGTCACCAACCTTCGATTTATAGGGCGTAGGGGAGATTTTGGAGATAATTTATAGAAAAAAAAAATGTGTTTAATAAGCAGCAAAATAAAGTATTTAACATTTATATAATTTTTTTTTTTTAAGTTTTCATAGAAAGAATTATAAATCTGTCACTGAATTAACAGGTGCACATGCAAAACATACATACACACAAAACCTGAATGAAACCGAAATAAACATCTATGCTGCCAGTCTTAATTTCCTTTTCTATCTGCCAAAAACCCCTGGGTAACAGGAAAAGAGTATAAGCCAGCTCTATGAAGTCATTTTTACAACTCCTGTTTTTAAACTTTTTTTTTTTTTTTTAATCATAGCACACCATGCAAGGCAGTAAAGCCATGATGAGACAAGGAGTTATTGAAGGTGAAAGAATAAGAAAAATGAGAAACATTATTAAGGAAGGATAACAATAGACAAAGAGTAATCAAGAAGACAGTAGATAATCATTGACATTGCATTTACAATTTTAAAGATCAAACTTGGCTGGAAACCATGGAGTTGGAAGGGAGTTCCACAAGCTAAAAATGCAAGAAAAAATCTTAGTATAGAACTTACAGTTACATCTAGCCAATTCAACTGTGAATTGATGAGACCTTACTGCCAATCTAGTACTCCACTTGAATTCATAAAGTCTAGAGACCGTAGCAAAGAGCTCATCTGAACAATTACCATGAAAGTATTTATAGAAAAGGCACAGGAAAGCTACATTATGGCAGTGAGAAAGTGACTAAAACTGAGATGCCAGTTTGGGACCAATAATATTGCTGATTCTTCTTTAGATTTTATCAAGAATCTCTGTTGCATTTTAAATGGACAAACAATTTAAATTTGAAAGTTAATCACCCTGCTATAAGTAAAGTGACATGTAGTTGACTAATTTTCAATAAATCCTACCTGTGATATGATAAATCATATAAACACTTAATAATAACAATAATAATAATCTTGTAATATTTAATAAAAAGAAAAAAAAGCAACTACAATGACAAGTGCAACAAAATATATAAAACAAAACAAACAAGAAAATGAAGAATTTGAAACAAAATAAATCTTGCAAGCTTCAACAAAATCAAACACTCACGTTTGGTCAGAACCGTGGACAGGAATCTCATCAGTATCATCGAACGGTAACAAGGCATGAGCTGGCTTTCTCCCTCTTTCTACAGGTGGATGGAAGAGATCTGGCTCATCAGCAGATTCTTCATCATCATCTTTGAATTCTTTCTTCTTGGGAATTTCCTTCACTGGAGTTAAATTCACTTGGTCACGATTTAAGTTAGCCAATACCATCAGCTCTTCAATGGGTGGGTAAATACAGCCATCACTGGTATGACACTGGTATAAATAAGAAGAAATCATTGGTTTGTGTCTTGGGAAAAAATCTGTTAATATATATATATATATATATATATATATATATATATATATATATATATATATATATATATGATGAAATGTAGTCTTAAGGTGTGCCATATTTATGGGATAAAGTGCTCAATATCAGAGATAGAGCGTATGTAAATATAAAAGTGAACATTGAAGTCAACAATGACAGTCTGTTTCATGCTTGATGCAAAAAGTGTTGCCATATATATATATATATATATATTTTTATATCAGGTCATCCCATAAGTTCTGTCTGAATTTTGAATAAAGAAAACAAGTGAACCAATGTTACATTTAATTACAGATTCAATCAACATGTATTTTAACTGATTATCTATGACTTCCTTCCATCTATTAACAAGCTTACTAATTCCATTACTGTAAAATTCTTTTGGCTTTGATTCGAAGAACTCACAAATGTCAGTTTTAACCTCTTCCTGTGTTACAAAAGCTGTTTCTTCCAAATGATTCTGTAAGCTACGATACAAATGGTAGACTGAAGGATCGGGAGAATAAGGTGGATGAAGAATTTTCTCCCAACCAAGTTCTTCAATCTTTTGTGACGTGATTCTTGCCGTGTGGGGTCGCGCATTGTCCTGATGATACATCACCCCTTTTCGCTCTAATTGCTGACAGTATATTTGAGCATTAATTGTTACATTAGGTGGTAAGAATTCAAAATGGATTATTCCTTGGCAATCCCACCAAATTGAAAGAAGAACCTTTTGCCTATGAAGTTCCCTTCTCGGCTGTGGCTGGGGTCCTTCCCCTTTATCAAGCCACTGTCTACGATGCTTAACATTTCGATAAAAGATCCATTTTTCGTCGCCAGTCACAAGTCTATCCAAAAAAGGTGAAACAAGTTGGCGAGAATGGAGAGAAGAGCAGATGTCAACTTGGGATTTGAGGTTGTTTTCAGACAATTCATGAGGCACCCATTTTCCAAGTTTAGGAACTTTTCCAAGTTGTTGAAGATGATGAACAGTTGTATGGTTTGAACTGAGAACCACTGCCAATTCCTCAACTGATAAAGCAGCATTTTCTTCAAGGGCTGCAAGAAGCTTTTCATCAAACTCAACTGGATGTCCGGTTCGATCTTCATCTTCAAGGGTGAAATCTCCACCTCTGAATTTTGCAAACCATCTTCTGCAAGTTCTTTCATTCACAGATCCCTCTCCATAAACTGTGTGAATGTTGCTAACCGCTTCAGCTGCTGAGTTTCCTTTCTTGAACTCATAAAGCATTATGTGCCTCAAATGATTCTTGGGTACTTCCATGTTAGCAGGGTTTTAATCAAACAAAATTTAATTTTATTGTTCTCTGAAATAAAATTTGATCAGTTTAAATGCATCTAAACATAAAAATAATGTTCAGCTCCATTAGACATCATAAAATACTCTTTAAATTTCATTCATTTTAACAAAAAGTTAAAATTCGGACAGAACTTATGGGATAAGTGTTGCCATATATATATATATATATATATATATATTTGGAGGAAATGTGTATGAGAAAGTGGAATAATAACAAAGATGATGAATGGTTTGGTTTGGTTTATTTTGTTTTATGGCATATCAACCTCAATGGGTTATTTGATGCTGACAAAATTTTTTATTGCTGGTAATATTTTGTTTTGTCAAAAATCTGTTTCTGGTAATATTTTTCCTTCAAAATTGTATTGCTGGTAATAATTTTTTTTCAAAAAAAGTATTGCTAATAATAGTTAACAATTTGCCCATAGCTGGGACCCTAACAGGTGCTAGCACCCCGAGTCAGGGTGGCCCTGGGAACACCAGCAATTAAGAGGTGGTTCCATGCTCCTCCAAACCTCCTGATCAGAGGCCTTGCTGCTGGACATAGTTTAGCATCTTACCCAGGATGAAAAGGTGATGGAAACAAGAAGACAAAGAAAAAGAACCTAAACGAAGCTGGCTAAATTATAGACCCAAAACACATTATAAAAAAAAATTTAAAATTTTCAACACTATTTTCAAAATTTAAAATTCTCAGTATCTCTCATTCACGTGCATATGTAGCTATCAACAATCATCGTCCAATGAGATCTTTAGGGACAAAAGGCACCTGACAAAAACTTTTTTCACTTTTTCACATACATCTTTCCTCCCTAAGTGATCTTGATATATAAAAATTTATATATCATTATCCAATATATATTTGAATAAACACAAAAGGAAAACTTTTCTTCACAGATATGTTTCGTCTTATGATGGATTTTATGAAGACAAATGTAAGATTTTATTTTGCAGCATGTATTTATACAGAAGTAAAAAATATAATTAAGCTTTCAAACTTCTTTAATTTAAGAATGCTCATAAATATTCATCAGGCTGAGAAAGTCAAGTATGGAAGATGCTAAGTGATGTAATTTAATGCCTAATAAATGAAAGTGGGTAAATGTTGGTACTTGTTCGATTTTTTATTATCTTATTTGTTTATACATATTTATTTATTTACTTTTTTTATTTAGTTATTAATGTAATTATTATATATTACTTTATCCTTTTATTTAAAATAATAAAATGGTTTAATTTAACAGTTTTTAAAATTTTAAATATTTTTATGGTCATGTATGTTGGCATGATAAAGGAGTATTTATTCATACTGTCTTTTTACCGATATACTGAATTTATATCTAAATTTTTGCACATACAAACACACACACACACATATATATAAGCAAACATTGAAGTCAACACTCAGAGGCGACAGGCAGTTTCATGCTGGATGCTATTGTCAGGCGACCTGACAATTGTGTCCAGCATGAAACACAGCCTGTCACCTCTGAGTGTTGACTTCAATGTTCACTTTTATATTTATATTTACATACGCTCTATCTCTGATATTGAGCACTTTATCCCATAAATATAGCACATCTTAAGACTATATTTCTTCATATATAAAATAGCTGGCCACTTGTATTCGAGGATACCCATCTATTAGGGAAGCTAGCTAATCCCTATTGTAGACGCTCAGGCACGTTTGTGTTTGTTCAATACCCTGTGGTTTGTACTGCAACTATGCTTGTGTGGCATGGTGTAGAGTCCTGTTGCCAGAAATAGGGTCTTCCACCAGCCATCCTCTTGGCCCAGGGCAGCACTACCTCCTCAGGGCACTTGATATAGGCCTCCATGTTGAATCTGAGGCCATGTGTGATGATGAATGCAGACATAATGTTGACATGATGCTGAGTGGATATATCTTCCAAATCTTTCTGAATCCTCTGCATTATCCAAAGATTGACAAACAAATACTCTGAAATGTTAGCATTGGAGCTCCTGCTGCAAAATGCCAAGCAGTGCAGCATGCTGTTTCCAAATTTCTAGCAGAGTAAATTGTGTCATGGTGCTCTTTTTCTCACAGATGGTGCCCAGCTGACTCTGCTATATTGAGCAGTCGACAAATTCCAAAATAAACAAGGCTCATGCATGAACAATTTACCCACCGCAACCTATATATATATGTGTGTGTGTGCGTAAATATATAGAAAAATAGGAAAGAAAATATTAGGTTAATAATCCAAAGTTCTTTAGTATTTTTGTTTTTAAAAAGCAGTGCTCAATACATAAGTAAACCCTAAATTATATATATATATATATATATATATATATATATATACACACACACAGAGTTATTAGCTATTCATCTCTCACTCTCTCAGATAGATAGATAAATAGATAGATAGATAGATATCCATCTGATCTACATATATATATATATATATATATATATATATATATATATATATATATATATATATATATATATATATACACTGGATGTAACAGCATAATTCTCCATCCCACAAAATATTTAACATCTAAAAAAACACTAAACTAATTGAGTTTCTTTTTTCCAAGTTTTCAGATAAGTCATTTAACCATCTTGACACCATTTGTCATAAGAATCACTAAAAAACCTTTTGAGTTATTCAGCTAGAAAAAGAACAGGTTAAAATCATTTAGTGTCAGCCCCATTGTCTTTCCAACTGAGCAATAGTCAGAGGAAAAAGATCATTCAAGCCTTCAGTAATGGTATCAACATTCATACTCTGGTTTCCATCTTCAAAGTCCATTCAAGAACCATCAAGAGAACAATTAATAAGTTTAAAAAGAGGGAACAGTAGAGACAAAAACTGGATCAGAAGGTTATAAAAGGAAGAGGGATCATCATTTCAACTTAGAGCTAAATACATTCTTATTGTTCCTTCATGAGCTTCCTATACTTAGCTCTGATTAATTAATGATGAACATGTCATTTTCATTTATGATTGATTTCATCACAATACTTCAGTTAAGTTTGGAGAGTAATTATACATTACTATTGTTCAAAGTAGAATTCAATAGTGTTATAAAAACCTCAGAGAATTCCAGTAAGATATTTTTAATCATTTCTAAGATACAATGTTTAAAAACTGAATCTAACAACTAGAAAATTTTGCTGTTACACGATTTGGACAATTTTGCTGTTACAGCTGGTGTGTGTGTGTGTGTGTCTCTCTCTAATATATATATATATATATATATATATATATATATACAGTTATTCATTTAGATTTATTCAAAATTATTTATATACAATTTAAGCAGTTGTCAAAATTAACATACTTTTGTTACTGCAAGTCTGATGGGCCATCCACTGTTTTGACGGAGTATATATTGCACCTGCAGAATAAGAAACAAATCATGAAGCCTTTAAATCTCTATGGAAATACCCGTACAATGAAACTTACTTTCTTATTTAAGGAGCATGTGGCATGCTACAAAAGGAAAGAAATCTTGCATAAAGACTCAACCTCTTTAAAAGATCAATGGGACAATAAAATCAAAACAATCTGCCTGTTTATATTTTTCTTTCATCTCAATTCCTTCTCGCTTTCTTTTTTTTTTTTTTCATCTGATTTTATTTTTCTCTAGCTTGCTTACTTAACCTTTTCCCCATCACAGCTTTTTTCTAATTCATCTGTCAGATGAAACTGAACAGATAGTCATGGCATATTTAAGAATAATTCACAGATTAGACAAACAAGTCTCTCATGACACTTCAACCTCCACCCTTGAAAATTAGAAATTTGCAAACCCCCTCTCCACCCCTGCCCACACCATCCAACAGAAAGATAATTTGCTTTTTGTATTCTGTCTTTGATTATCAACTCACTTGGAATGCCTTTCAAATTAATCTCAGATTTCTCCCAGACAACTTGCAAGATGATTGGTAGAATATTTTAATGATTCACTCGTTATATCTTTTGGAAATTTATCCCCTGCCAAATTGTGGTGTTCCATAGTAAAATCATATGCATCTGTGTTTAAAAAGAAAACTTTGTAAAAATATTTTCGCCGTTCCCATTCACATCTCATTGTGAACAGTTTTTCAGAAATGCTCTCTGTTTGTGCTCATCTGTAACAGTCCCCAGAATTGATTTACATGCTGAAAAGAGATGCTCATCCATCAAATTAAATATGTGACAATGTATTGAATAAAATTATAAAGAAAATTAGAAATACCTGTAAAAATTTCATTGTATTTCTATTTTAATTTTCTGATAAATATTAATTTTTAAGTTGATGATTGAGTAAGCTCATGGCGATTTCTACGACAATAAAATATTCATAAAAATTAGCCAAGCACATCATTAAATATTTGAGCTTAACAACTTTACCAAAATATTCCAATAACAATAATAAATACGAATGGTGGATGTTAGTTAAAGAAGTAAGGGGATACAAATGAAAAGATTTGAAATTGACAACTTTTTCCATTTCACTGAAACAGACATTAAACATGTCTATCTTCTTTTCTTTCTTTTTGTCTTTCATTCATTTTCTCACTGGAACCAAGTAACGTCTCTGATATGTCTTTTCTGTCTTTCTATGCTTTCAAAATGAATTATTTATGATGTATTGACAGGAGATGTTAAATACTCCTATCTTCCTTGCTTTCTTTCATTTTCTCATTGGAGCCAACTAGCATCTCTGATATGTCTTTTCCATCTTTCCACACAATCAAAACGGAATAGTCCATTATTTATGTGGTATTGACAGGAGACATTAAACACTTCTATACACAAATCCTTCTTTCATTTTCTCACTGAAACCAGATAGCATCTCTGATATGTCTTCTCCATTTTTACACACAATCAAAATGGAATAGTCCATTATTTATTAAGTATTAGCAGAAGACATTAAACAATTTTATCTTCCTTTCTTTCTAATCAAAGCCTCATCATACAAACATACCCCTTAATAATAATTTAAAATAATTCACTAGATGATGTTATTTAATCTATAGTGACAAGATTTTTGGTGATTACCTTACTGGGTTTCCAACGTACAGTACTGTGTGTCTGAAAAATGCTGCTATTATTGTGGTTACCTTCACTTCTCAAAGATTGTTTTAAATAAATATAACAAAAATTCTTCTTTAAAATTATAGGAGACCATAAATCGTATCATAACTGTCCCCAGAGTCAACTGAATAGGTTAGGAAATGTCTAGTCTTATTAAATCAGCATCTCTGATATGTCTTTTTATCTTTTTTTTAACTAAAAATTGACAGAAAAAATATAATTTTTTTACTTCATTTATTAAAGCAAAATTAGTTCTTACAATTAAATACTAATATCTTTCGCATTTAGCAATAAATAATACAGATATCCAAATTTAAATCCTTCCACTTTCATTTTTTATTCATGTTTTACTGATTAGTTTAAAAAGAAATATCTAAGTTATGTTTGATTCTTGTTTGTATTCTTGGGTGTATGTACTTCATTTACTAAAAGCTCACCACTCTTGGTGAGAAGAGACCATTTTTTTTTTTTTTAAGAAATTGATTGCTTTTTGAATAAATATAATAGAATATTAATTAAAAGAATTTATCATCCCTAAAAACAAGACCAACTGTCCTAAACTAACATTTTATTGTCCTTAATTTTAAGGTCCTTATCTTGTCTGCCATGTCAGGCTAAAATAGTAGCAAAATGCTCTCCTAAAACAATTTTCATGAAGTCAGGCCATTACCAAAGTAATCGTTATTGGCACATTATACGTGGACCAAATTCACATTCTGTCTGAGATTATATTCTTTTAGCACTGATGCCCTTAATATTTTTTTACTTAATGCCACTAAGACACAAAGAGTCCCTGAGAGTGAAAGAGGACTTTAGTGAGACAAACAGGTTTCAGGAAGATAGTAAATGACAATTGGCATTCCATTGAAATTTTTGAAGATTGTATGTCGCAGGAAAGCATGAAACTGGAAGGGAGTCCCGCAGTCGGGAAGTGCGGAAAAAGAAACTATTAACAAAGAACTTATGGCTATGTCTACCTATTTCAACAATGAAACCCAGTTTCCAATCTAATCTTCTTATGTGCTGTGTCCCCACTGGACGTAGGCAATCATGGCTTGCCACAATTTCCCATCCTTTGTAGCTCTTAATAAATTTTGTCTTTTCATTATTTCTCCTAAACTCTGTTCTGCCATGCATCTTGCTTAAGACCATCAAGTATTTTATTCATTGTTTTCCTCTGTCCCTCTTTCCCTCCATCCATCCTGTGAGTATCAGATTTTCCAAGCCCTCCTTCCTCATTATGTGCCACTCTAGTAGGATGCTCAAATTCATGTGGTTGATTTATCAAGGATGAAAGCTAATTAAAAAATTGCCATGAAAATATTTATAGTAAAAAACAGTGAAACCACATCATGGTGGTGGGAAAGTGACTGAAGTTGAGATGCCAGGTCAGAACCGATAACTTTACAGACCCTTCCTTGGATTTTGTGAAGGATCATGAGATATATATCTGGAACACCAGACAAGATATGGCAGTAATATTCAATGCACAGGTAAATGGTAGATTTATATACAAATGTGTAAAATGGATTCTGACAAGAAAAACTGTCTGGCAAGACACATTAAACCTACCAATGAAAGGCATGAATCTAATTCTTCCTGGGAAGGAACACTGTGACAAACCATTCTCCCATAACTACTTAATAACTTCAAGTAGTAGCATCTCAAAGCTGTTACACTCATAATGATTAAATCATTAATTAAATAAATAGATATTAAATTACTTACTTTGCTTTTGCTGGCATCCCGCAGACTGACTCCAAATAATTCGTCAAGAACGTCACCACAGCCAATTTTGCCCTAGGAAAGTAAGTAAAATGAAGGAGTTAACATTTTATCAAACAATATGGCTGTTATGAATAATTTCTCTAACATTACAAAGATGCAACATCAATACAAGGCCAGATCAAAACTGGTGCTATAATAAGAAAACTACAACACATATCAATTCAGCATTTAATCTCCTTCAAAATAAGTTTCCTTCTGAAGCCCCAAACTTTATCCAGCATTGTTCCCATTGATGGAAGCATTCCTGGAACTCCTATTTTGGAAGAGCAAGCAGATGCCTCATCACATTCTCTTGGATTTCCTCAGCATCTTGAAATCTTCTTCTCTTCCTGGGATTTTATTTTTGGAAAGAGGAAAAAGTTGCAAAGGGCTCAAAAACTTTGTTGGCCAAAAACTGCTACATAAATTACTATGAATGGACGTGGGGAATGTAGTGCTTAGTCAAAATTGCTGCACATGCTACACTGAATGTACAGGTGCATTGTTATCGTGGTGTTACCACTCATTGGATGATGGAATTCTGCGCTTTTCCAACAAACATCCCACAAATGCTGCAACATATCATGGTAGTATTCTTTGTTTACTGTCTGACCAGGGGGAGCATACTCATGATGAACAATGCACTTTTAGTCAAAGAAAACTGTTAACAGTGTCTTGACATTGACTCATTCCTGCTTTCTTTGGCCTCAGAAAGGTTAGAGTTGGTTCGAGTCATAGCCATTCATCACTTGTTATGAGCATTTTCAAAAAGTTTTCATCTTCACTATTGTCCTCATCTTTGTTGCCATATTTATTACAATGTTTCAGCTGTTAGTACACCCCGGCCTTGTCACTGGGGTAGACTGTTCTAGTTTCATGTGTCAGTTAATTCCCCTCTTCAAGTTCTCCACTACCTTAACCGGGTATTGAACTCACACTCTTTGGGTCTTGTCACTGGATCTAACCAATGCCTTATCCACTGTGCCATGCGTCCTTGAGGACATCTGTGTATGAATTTCTGGGTATTATAAACCTTCAGCAATCATTTTTAACTGTGCTCATATTGCAATTTTTGCTGTTATTATCACACCCCTTATTACTGGCTCCCATACTGTATTCATTTTTATGCTTGGTCGGCTCAGGAGATTTTTGTGGCCTAGCATATGTGCTGATTCCTTAAGTTTACGAATTTTCCAATGGTGTCCTTTATGATCTCAACCTGATCCCACAGAGGGCAGTGATCTCCCTTTTCTCTCCATATGTGGTCAGCCACGCCTGATTTTTCCACTTTCCCTCATGTTACAGCTTTCTGGTGTTCTCAAAGCCTTACCTTGGGGGTGGGGTGATCGCTGTCTCTCTTTTATATTTCTTTCCGCAGCTGCATGTGATAGCATACACACAGTCTTTAGTCATGTTTGTTCTGTGTAGCTGAAATGCAATTTCCCTTTTGGTTAACTGAAAGCAGTTTTGGCACGTATCTCACTCCAAAAACTGATGAATGGTCTGAACTGAACCATAACTAATGTTTACATCCTCTGACAACTCATGCAACGTGATTTGATGATCTTTCCGAACATCTGCATATTTTCATCAATTCTGCTGATTGCAGGTCTTTCAGAATGTGCGTAACTTTCAACATTTTGTCAGCCATCTTGTAAACATCTGAACTACTCGTACACTCATGTCAGGCTTATGCACTTCTCTACTTCATACAATTTTGTTGAATCCTCTGCACAGGTACCACCAAGCATTTTGCAAAATCTGATACAGTTTCTCTGCACAATATTTGATGCCATATTCACTAATGAAATCTCTGTGATGTGGTGAAATGACCACACTCTACACTCTTTCCTTCCAAGTACTGCTATAAACAATAGAAGTGAGCAAGAATGTAGTAACTTAGTGTGCATGTGCAACAGAGTATAAGGTCTATCTGTACCAAACGGCTTCACTCTGCATACTTTAGCTACCATAGTAGCAGTAATGATACTTTTTTGATCAGACCTTGTATATCTTATAATTATTATAAATATTGTTTAGAAAGTGTTTGGTAAATTTTCATAGGTCTTACGTCTTCTTCTGCAACACTTCCTGGGGCGACATTTCGAACGAGAGTACGACCAACCAAATACCTGAAAAAAGAATTAGCACGGCACACATTAATACAAAGTATTATTATAGAAGATCTTAGTAAATAGAGGCAGAAAACTTAATCAATGCTTTTTGAAATATTTAAAAAAGATGAACAAATTGGATGAAAAGAAAATACCATAAATGGTAACTCAAGAAAAAATTAAAATAAACAACTGACTGGTATTCGTTCCTCTCTTATAAGAGCTTGATTGATGAAAGTAAAAATACTGTGCACATTGATTAAAAGTAAAAAAAAGAGAGAGATCACAGGCAATAAGAAATGAACATCTGTTGTCAGGACCTACTTGCATCAGGATCATCATCCTCTTTCTCTATTTCCTTTCTCTCCACTGGTGGTGCTGGTGGTGAAGATGGCTGAGAATGAAATGACTTTGACGAGGCCATTTGTGTGAATTTGGTTTTGGCGAACAAATCTACACGACAAAGAAGCTCACAACTCTACATGGCAGAGAAGCCCACACATTTGGCCAGAAGTGCCCCACTCAGGGCTCAAATGGGATGGATACAGGTGAGATCTGGCAAACCTGGTTGCATTGGGCTGTCAGATGCTTTGTCAAGTTCCACTTTTGTTATGCAGGCCAGACCTGCACTGTCCTCTTCTGCCAGTTTGGCCATTGAGATTCTTTGCCTATTCCATCATTGGGACCTTCAGAGTTTGGTCACATTCAGTCTGGTCCTTCCTTTTCAAACTTACCATCATGGGCAGCCCTACAGGAGTTAATAATATATTAACATATGTACACTAATGCCTGACTGCTCATATGTGAGTATGTCTCTATGGTAGTACAGCTAGGCAATTTCTATTACAGACGCCCATGGTTTTCAGTAACTTTTCAATGGTGCTGTACACTGGGATCGCCTCCCACAGACTGATAACATCAAGAAGACACCTTCCTAACAAATTGACTCTGGTGAGATTCAAACCTGGGTCTCATTGTTAGAAAGTATTGTGGTAAACCCTCCTACAGTAGAATGATCTCTTCCTCCTCTCATTAATACAAACTGCAAGAGTCGGGTAGAGTGGAGTGTAGTAGTAGATGCAGTGCTAATCTACTTATTACTAACACTATTGTTTTGTATATATCTTCAATATACTTGTTTCAACCTACCTTCGTCTTCTGTGTCTTTCTTTCTAGCCCCTAAACAGGCCACAGCAGAAAGCAAACCTTCTAACCACTCGGCCACATGTACACACATACTTATGTTACAGATAACAATATGACCTGACACCCATTCTTTTTGTTTACATAAAGAAGGCTGTCTCGATTTAAGAAAAATTATCTCAAGAATTTTTAGTTGAAAGACAGAAAATATATCCTCAAGAAGAGTTTATGCACATCGCCAGTTATTAATGAGATTGTTAACTATGCTCCCAAGGACTGAACTCTTCACCATTGACTAACAAACATTATTCAATTACCTGTTAATTAAAAATAAGCCTACCCTTTTCCATAAGAGCTTCTAAAAATTTGGTCAGTGAAAAGAGGATTTGTTTGCTTCTGGAATCTATATTGGACAATTTCACAGCTTAAACAATGATGTCTGGAGATTGCAGACCTGGATACACCAGAACATTTATGCTAATTTTTATGTTGACATTTCCTCTTTTTCTTTTTAAATCATTTTGCTCCAAGGAAGGCAGTAAAGCCTCTAAGATACAATGGGTTATTGAGTGTGAAAGAATAAAGAAAAACACAAACATTATTAAGGAATAAGAACAAAAGAAGTGTAATCAAAAAGAAGTAGATAATAATTGACATTGCATTTAAATTTTTGAAGATCAAAGGCAATAAAGCCACTAGGACGCAACAGGTTACCGAGTGTTAGAGAATAGAGAAAACTACTATTAAGAAGAGAGGACAATAAAAGTACAAGAATTAAGAAGACAGAAGATAACAATTGATATTGCATTTAAATTTTTGAAGATCAAAGTTGGCTGGAAAACAAGAACCGAAAGAGAACTCCACGGGCAAAAAGTATAGGAAAAGTGAATTGATGAGAACTTGCTGCTTATCATAAAGATTAGGTACCCAGGTGAAGAGTTCAACCAGACAATTACCATAAAAAGGCACAGGGAAGCTACACTACACAGGTGGGAAAGTCACTGAAGCCGAGATGCCAGGTCAGGATAATAATGTTGCTGATTCTTCTTTGTATTTTACGAAGCATCTCTAAATATATAGCAAGAACACTAGACCATATAGGGCAGCAATATTCAAAACAAGAACAAATGGCAAAATTATAAATATGTAAAATAGATTCTGGCAAGAATAATTGTCTAACATGTCACAGTGAACCAACTGTGTTAGCAGTAAAAACCAACAATTGATTCAATATAACCTTCTCACTTCATGCCAACAGAGAATGTTTTACCAGAAGAAGGTGCAATGAGTCACTTTATTGGAGGTTAGCATCAGCCATACAGATGGAGGGCAGAAAGCAACCTCCCAGATGATGAATAGAGAAGTTTATAAATGCTGGCACATACTGAGAAATCTGCTTCCTTAATAGTGGGACGATCCTAGTTATTTAATCAGCCTTGCACTGACACTTAAATTGGTAAATAGCAGAACTAAGTTGATAAATAGGTATTCTATCTTTAGGAATGGATTTCAATATTTGTTGGGAAGAGAAAAAAAGAGATTTGGCAGCAAAATAGCAATTACTAACACGAGCAAAGATCTGAAAGTTCTCAAGACCATTTTTATTAAATCGAGAGTCTTCTTTGCGTAAACAAATAACTGGGTGTTAAATTACAGTTTTATCAGTTTGTAACAAGTATGCATGTGTTTGCAATGTTTTACCTTTGTGCACCCAAAAAGGATATTTATTCTCTTGACGTCATTATTAAACTTTTTTTATGACACCCTCAGCAGAGTTAATTGTTTTAAAAAAAAACGTTTAGAATTTTAATAAAACCCAAACATGTAAAAGTGGATTTATATATTTTCTTTATTCTTGAGAATTGACAACAAAGATATTGAACACTATTTATTTGTTAGATTGATTATTTACTAGAATAATTTTATATTTACGCGATTCTAAAAATATTTGACCCAACTATAATGAAATATTTACTGTTTGCCTTTTATAAAGAGATAAAGAATTTTTTTATAAATTGAAAAAAAAATGTCTGTGAACAAGATTTCCCTGGCATTATTTTCATTTGCTCACGCTACATAAATTCACTAAAATAGGATTAAAGCAGCTCTTCCACTCAACCAAAGATTCTTTTAATTTTTTTTATTTTTAGTGAGACCACAAACAATCAATATTTTGAGTGTGCATCTCATTCACTGGGTGGACAAAGTTTTCCTTGTGTTTGATTACAGAATGTCTGTAATTTTTATCACAATTATTGCATTGTAGATGGTTTGCATATTTTGATAATTTTGTAATTTTTATAAATTTTTGAATAAAAAGATTTCTCTTCAAATTTATTCCTTTATGAAATATGGTAAATAATAAATAGAGCATTGTACTTGGTTGACATATGTTTATAATTTTGTAAATAAACATTTCCAAGGGAGTCAAAAGTGTATACAGTAATAGTGGTGTCAAGTGAATAACCATAACTTTTGTATACACTATTTTTTTGCTGGTATGAAGGATAGACATTGTTCATATGTTAATACATTATTAGTATGGTAGTATCTGCCACACAGAGTTTACCGACTATTTTGTGTTAGGGAGAATAACATGTTTTAGCCTTCCAGTAGCACACCGATACCAATATTAGCATTAGTGTAGCCATTGATACACTAACACTGAATACGAATATAGAAAGACACAATACATGGGCATAACAAACTAAATATTTCATAAGGCAAAAAACTTACGTACATATATTAAAAAGATTTACATATCTCCCAAAACAAATGATTGTCCATATTGTCCCAAAGGAACGAGGAGGTTTACAGAACGAGAACAAAGAAATAACATACCAACTTTATGGCCTTTGATCGTCTGCAGATAAGCAAATGGAAATTACTTTTTCCTTTTGCTAGGCCGTGTACATGTTGGCCAGTTTCCACGTGCATGGACATCCTGGTGGTCAGGAAGAGGCCATCCTCCAAAAAATGGAAGCAAAGAAAAAAAAGGACAGAAGTGTTCTACTCTCTAAAGGGGCCAAACTCCCATGAGCTCAACCCAAGGGAAAACAACTGTGGTCTCCCTACAACATTATTAACGTGTATTTCTTATTTTCTTTTTCTCATTCATTATACGCAGTATTTTATTTTTCATGATCAAAATTTTATGACAGAGGAATGAAAATCGGTCAGTTGTTTCAAATAGCATTTTTCTCCAGTTACCCTTGACTACAGCAGTAATATCTTTTTGTTTATTTTTCTTATTTTTAATCTATTAAAATAAAAAAATAATATAAAACTTGAAACCATGAAAGATGCTATTATCAATATGTTTAAAATTGGCAAATACTATTTGTTAAAATTCACACATTGTCAATATATCAAACATTTTGTTCATTTTTAATAATTTTATTGTTTTGGCAACAAAATCACAATTACTAATGCTGACAGAAATATATAACTTCTTAAGACAATTTTTATTTAATCGAGACAGCCATTTTGTAAACAAAATGGACGTTAGGTCACACTTACAGTATTATCTATTTGTAACATAAGTATACTTATGTTACTATATTGTGTTAATATATTATTAATATATGTGCATTTCTTATCACCATTGTTCCCTCTTTTCTTTCTTAGTTATTATAACAAAAAAAATAGAGTAAATAATAACTGAGCAGTAATAAAAGAAAAGCAAATAAAAACCAAAAATCAAGTGGAGATATCCCTAGACATGGACACCAGAACATGAACAATCTACCCCTGTAGATTAAATAAATTGGTTGATTCATTTTCTATGGCTTATCAAATTTTTGCAGGTTATTTAAAGCCAGAAAATATTTTTAGATTGTAAGAATTTTTTTTCTATGTAAGTGAATATAACAAACTAAATGGGAATTGAAACTCAGCTTTCCGATTAATAATTCCAAGCCATTATCCATTACACCACCTGCACATCCAAGCTGGTATTCCCAAGTGGTCACCCATCTAGGTACTGACCAAGCTTGATGTTACTTAACTTCGGTGGTTGTATAGGAACTGGTGTTTCAACAAGATGTGGCCGTTCGTCAGATTAAATAAAGGGTTCAGTTTGAAATTCCTTGGAGGTGACCCAGATTGATAGGCACCTGAAAGAGGCCAAAGGTCACCACAGCCAAATCACTGCAATAATGACAACAAAAACAAGAGCATGAATCTGAATGTTAAATAGCATAAATAATAAGAACTGCTGATTCCAGAAATTCAAATAGAAAGAAAAGAATATTTACTGGACTGTCATTCCAATGTCGTCACAAGGAACAAGTTCATATTCTTTATAAACCTGTAAAGAAAATTAATTACCATTTTGATTGATAAAAAAGAAATTTATATCTTGCCAAATTAAGATAAATGAAAATATGACTTACTTCTATGTGCCTTGTCTCTTCAGGATGATGTCAATCATGGCTCTCCACAATTTCCTATCCTTTCTAGCTCTTAATAAATTTTGTCTTTTTGTTATCTTGTTCCACCATCCATTTACTCAAGCTCACTAAGAACGTTATACATTGTTTTTCTCTATCCATCTTATCGCAATAAAAGAATGCTACTTTGCTTGGCTCTTTGCAAATGAAAAAGGGAGTTGTGATGTGCATTTTTGACACTTTTAATTTAAACCCTTGGATTTATGGCCCTTGCACTTGTTTTTGTACCTGGACCACATAATTGTTATTTACCTCAAAATTTGAAACTTGGCTAATTAATAATTGATTTTTTAAATGCTGTGTAATTTTATCTTTCTCCATAAATTGATTAAATTTTATTTTCTTCTTCAGTGTATCATGTTCCTTGCAAAGGTTGGTGATCATGGCTCTCTACAATTTCCTGGCCTTAATAAATTTTGTCTTTTTGTTATCTCTCCTAAACCTCTATCATCCCTTTTACTGAAGCTCACTAGGTTATGCATCGTTTTCCGCTGTCCCACTTGCCTTTCAATCTGCCCGAGTATAAAATTTTCCAAGCCCTCTTTACTCATTATATGCACTATAAATTTCTACTCTCTTTCTAATTCTAATCATAACTGTCCTATTTGTTTCAATTTTCTCTAAAACTTTGTTGCTGCTCACATAGTTCGTCTATGGTATTCTCAGTATCCTTCTGTAGAACCACATTTCTGTTGCATCAACTCTCTCTTTCATCTGCAAGGAAATGGTGCCGCATTCACTATCATATAGAACGAGTGGTATTATATAACAGTTCAGTACTTTTTTTCTTTGTTTCTAATGAAATTTTCCTGTTTCTTAATATACTTTGCTAAGCAAATTTCGCTATCCCATTGCAACTCTGGATTGCAGTGTCATACTCTGTTAACACACTTCCCAGATATTTAAATAGTCGTAGTTGTTTGATTTTGGTATCCCCAATTTGTAATTTGCATGTTGGGTTGTTCTCTTTTGCTAATAACCAGACATTCTATGTTCTTGTAATTGGGGTTTAGTCCTTTCTTCTAGCTTTCCTCCACTACATTCTATAGGAATTCTTGTTTCCTTTCTGCACCTGCTATCAACACTATGTCCTCTGCATATATTATGTTGTTAAGATTGTGGCCTCCAATAATGAATCCTGGAAGGACTTCTAATTCTCTCAGAATCACTTCACTGCAAAGGTTGAATAACTTCAGTGAGAAGACACCTCCTTGTCTTATGCCCCTTTCTATTTGTATATCTATATGCAGGCAGTTTGCTGCCAGTATAGGTTCTAGAATATTCTAATATCCTTTCCAAATTTGTCAAGGTTACATAGCAAAGTGTGAGAAAGAAGAAAAGGAATGCCCAAATTAAATTTGAATTTGAGCTGTTTTAAAAACTTATATTTTTTTTTTTTAATCAGCTGTATTCAGGGCCAATTGCCAACATGAAGTGAAACAATTGTATTCAGTGACAAAGCATAATGAAAACAATTCATGGGAAGATGAAAGACATGACATGTGAACAAATAAGGACATGTTGCCAGGTGTTTATGCAGATTTAGCCAGTTACACCTTAAAGCCCTGTAGACGCCTAGAAGTAATGAGCCACAGTTCTCGGCATGCAGAGCATTGCTGCTCTGGTTTCTATACCAAGTAGCAGCTTTTTGCAGCATAGAGTTCTTTTCCCTACACCCAAGCAATTTTGAATTCAAAGTTATCCTTCTTCTAGATCTAAAGATATGTTACGGTGAAAGAGTACATAATTTTTTACTTACCCTCATATATACACATTATTAACTGTGCATTATATGTTGGATATTTTTCCTAAATTGAATTAAATTCTTATTCATGTTCAAGCTATCTCTGGAAACCAGTAAAATGGTCTGAACCAAAGAAAAATAAAGAAAAGAGAATCTTAAAGGAACTTCATTGGTCCTCAACTGAACTTTTATACAGACGTGTAATACTGTCTATATTTCTGAGATGAGGTATTATGTACATTATTTACATTATTCGGACTATTGTTCTCATCTTTGTTGCTATATTTATCACAACATTTTGGCTGTTGTATGCTCCAGCCTTCTTCAGGGGGTTGGAATTTCGAATTGAACCCTTTATTTCGCTCATTGGGGTAGACTGTTCTAGTTTCCCATGCCATGTCCTCAAGGACACATGGCACAGTGGATAAAGGTGTTGGTTAGATTCAGTGACAGGACCCAAAGAGTGTGAGTTCAATACCCCGTTAAGGCAATGGAGAACTTTCAGAGTGAAATTAGAAGGAGATAACTGATAACTGACATCCATCAAACATGGCATGTGGAACTAGAACAATCTACCCCAGTAAGCGAAATAAAGGGTTCAGTTTGAAATTCCAACCACCTGAAGAAGGCCGGAGCGTACAACGGCCGAAACATTGTGATAAATATGGCAACAAAGATGAGGGCAATAGTCTGAATAATGTAAATAATAGACGTGTAATACTTCTAAGTGTACATGAATGCTAAAGCTTGATCCAAAGCCAGGGAGCAAAATTTTGATCTTAAGTGAAGCACACTTAACTTTGACCTTTGACAATATAAAGGTTACTTTTTACGAATACTCTATATAATGTGTGAGTGAGAGAGAGAGTGTGTGTGTGTGTGTGTGTTAGATATGCCATTTGCTGATGATTCTGAGGCAAAAGGCAGGTTCTTCACCTACCTTGGGAATAAGCACATTGCCAGTCTAAGACTAAGATATCCTTATTGCTACACAAGCTTCCAATAGTGTGGTGCTTCATCAAGTTTGATGAAAAATTCAAGATCCTAGTCTGTCCTACTATTTAACTCATAGATGGGGGTAAAAGAGATAGATTCATAGATTTTGCAAGGGTATTTCCATCTAAGTGAATGAAATAAACTTGATTGGAAATCGAACTTGGCTCACCAATTTCTCACTTATCTACCATCATGCCATCTATTTCACCACCCACACACTTGTACTTATATAAAATAACTAGTATGTATCAGCACTTGTGTTCATCTTTTTAAATTTTGGTAGCTAGAATCATGTAATGCTTCAGTCTGCTATCTTTTCCTATTGCAGGATCAAATTTATTATATCAAAAAGACTTACATTGAGTTTTTTTTTTTTATATTATGAGCAGCAAGTCAATTGTTATGATGAAATGTTATAACTAACAACTACTTGTTTCAAAGTTAATCCCTGTTGCAGATGCCTACTCAAGCACATTCCTTCAAATTTTCCACCCTACAACTTGTTTCTCACAGACAAAATGTTGCAAAAATCTCACAGCTCTATCACTATTTATAACCTGAACACTTTCCATGGAAAGTGTTCAGATTAACTACAATCTTTCTAACCTTATACCCACCATGCTATGCACATTGTAGAGAACCAACCTCATTCTCTTTGGATTCCATTGGTGAGATGTAAGTTCAATTCAAGTAGCTTCTTCCCATGAACTAGAGGTTTGTGCAAGAAACTCCCAAGAGGATGCTTCCCTGATCACTACAAACTTAACCTGTTCAAGTCTAGGTGTAACTGTTATCTTCCCTACATATTCACATACACTGTGCCTTTTACAAGGTGAACATCACTGTAAAAACAAAACAAACAAACAAACAAACAACACCCACAAAACCTACCAGTGGTTACTACTGCAACTATGTTGAGCCAACTTTAGTTACAGTTTATTGGTGAAAGCGCATGATCTGGCCAAGGTGGTAGCACCATATAGAGAACTTTTGCATAGGACCAAATTCATCTTTAACTTGTGAAGGAAAGGTTCCAAAGCAAGAACGTAAAGCCAAGGTGAGAGCGGACAAACTTGATGAATGGAGCAAGACAATATGGTTGGGGACATGTACAGAAGTTGGATCCAGGAGCGAAAGTATGGTCCAAAACCAACCCCTGAAATGACAGACTCCAGAAATCAATGGTCAACCCTATCGAATGCTTTGAACTGATCTAAATTGATAAGTGTGGCTTTACTGTCAACTTGCTTGATGATCAAGTGTACCATAGGAAGGTTGCCCTGAATAATCCTGCCCTTCACAGCCCACGTCTATTCGAAGCCAATTAGACTAGAGAGGACAGCCTGCAAATGGTTGGCTAAAATCTTGGCTAAAATTTTTAACTCTGTATTTAACATTGTTAAAGGCCGAATCTGTTAAGTTACCTATCCCATCTCCACTGTTTTTGTTTTTGCAAAGTAACTTGATTACACCTGGTGAAACGTTGAGGTATAGACCCCTGCTTCAACCAGTTGTTGAAAATCAGTGCCAGCAAATGAACGAAAATATTGAGTGCCTCAAGTACAATTCATAGGGTAGACCATCTAAACCCAGAGATTTGTCCTGGACAACCTGCTTCAGTGCTTCCCAGATTTCCAACTCTGTGATGGGACCCAGTGACTTCAGCCACCTCAAGGCAAGGAAAGTCAGCTGAATAGGCATCAAAGTGTGAAGTGAACAGATCCTGGAAGCAATCACAAAAGGCCCCACAAATGCCTGCATTTGTAGTCCGATTATCTGACAATGTGACGCCCGCGATATGTCAATGAGATGCATTTCTAACTTCCAAATGTAGCACTGGTTGCTTTGTTAATGAATGCTAAGGAATTATAAGGAAATGACTAATATTATCATTAGAGATGTGGAGAACTGATACTACACTTTGATCCCAACTCAATGGCAAAAATGCGAAGAAAGACATAACACAAGTAGCACTTGCTTCTTGATCAATGAATTCTGAATGTTTCCTTATAAGGAAAGAAATTTTATTACCACTACCATATCTGGCAAATTAAAGAAACAAATGGTGAAAGAAGGATGGAAAAAAATTTTTAAAAACTCACTAAAATGAGTTTCAAGATTACTGAAATTTTACTTGGGAGGGGGGGGGAATAAAAGATTTTTTTGCATTTAAATTAAGGATTGGTGCAGAATGTTTCTTTAGAAAACAGACTTGGTTAAACTTAGATATGTATGGACAAGACATCGATCATTATGAAGAATTAATCAAAAGATTGACAAATACAAAGCAAAATGCTTTCCATCATTACAAAGCAAAATTTCAATTTATCTTTAAAATATGACATGACTTACTGGAAGTCCCCAAGTTTCGTCTAAGAAGCTTGCATTCTGAAAACAAAAAAAAAAAACAAAGTTTTCCTTAAATCAATGAAAGAACTTTATTACTGAATTAATGTTAATTTCATATATATATATATATATATATATATATATATATATATATATATATAAAAAAAGGGAGAGATTATTGTTGTTCCACTGAGAGAAAACCATATATTTTAAAGAGAGAAAATATATGTATATTATTTCCACATAACATTTAAAGGAATGGATTTTTTTTCTTCCTATGTTAAACCATTAACCATTGTCTTTTGTATATAGTAGTAATCATCTTGGACTACCCAAAAAAATATTCCATTGCTTGAGGGGTAATAAAACAATTAAATTTGGTCAGAGAAATGAAAAGAAAGAAAGATGTCTTTGTTCTTTTCTTTTTATGTCCACCTGTAACTTTTCATGGTATCTTCCTCTATTCTCGTGTATTGTGCTTTTGCCAGTATGTGTCTATATATTCTGTCTGTCTGTCTGTCTCTCTCTCTCTCTCTCTCCAGAAAAGCATGGCATGTGGAACTAGAACAATTTATTCCAGCAGACAAAATAAAGGTTTTGATTTAAAATTCAAATGTCTACCACCTGAAGAAAACTGGCCTACAATGGCCATATAACATTGTGAATATGACAATAAAGATGAGGACAACATTCTGAACAATGTAAGTAGTGTAAATAATTTCTTGATTATAAAAATTTTGTATTTTCACTTTCTGCTTTCTTCTTTTCTTTCCTTTTTCCTTGTGGAGAAGTTGAATATTTTTTTATAGAGGTCAAATTTTCACTCCGTCAACATTCTGCAGTATTAATTAAATTTTAAGTCACCATCAAAAATTATGATCTGATTCAAAGAATTTATAAATAGGAGTGTTGGGAAATAAAAATAGAAGAAAAAATCCTGTTCAGAAAAGAGAAAACTTGATATGTCCCAGAAAGAGCAAAGTAGCAAAGTGGTTTTGGACTACTGTAACCGAGTAGGACAATCTAGCAGGTAACTGTAATGGACTGGTCCTCGTCGTAGTGGCAAGCAATAGGCGAAGACTATAGGCGTAGCCAATAGGCGTTGTCCTGAACTTCCACATCAGTCTGTATTTATGGCTGACACCAGCCACTCATATTACTATGAGGGGGAACCCAAGTGTATCATATTCATTACAACAAAACTATCCAGAAATAAGTGCCTACTTACCTTCAAATTAAGGAGGAATCTGATTTCTGTAATCTCAAATAGTAAAGAAATGAAAATTTCTGCAAAGAAAAAAAAACAGTTTCAAATAATTAAATCATCATAGCATATACTAATGAACTCTATGATCTATCGACAACTAAAAAAAAAAATGTAAATGGTGCACTTACTTGTATCCGAGTCTATTAGAGCAGCTAGCTAATTTCCATTGCAGATGCCACAGGTGAGTTCTGTGGGTGTTGAACAAACACCCACAGAGCCTACTTGTGTTTTATACTGAAACTATGCTGAATGGACCTTAGTTACAGTTTCTGGGAGAGAGCGTGTTATCTAGCATAATTGACAGTCTGAACAAGGCCACCATGCTCAAACTCTCAATCATGATGACTTGTGACTTCATGCACAACCACTGACGGATAATTCTTTTTTAAAAAGTTCCAACATGTACAGATTTCATAAATGTTGAATATATATTATCTAATTTAGCCCATTAGAATGATTATTTTTTCCTTAGCTTGTTTGGTTTTGACAGATTTTGATAAACATTTGAAACGAGATTATTCAATAACATTGTAGATTCCTTAGAATTTCTCAAAGCTAATTAATTGATTAATTGATTTGTTTTTTTATGGATTATCAACCTTTTTCAGGTTATTTAAATGAGAAAATTTTTTTAGATTGTAACAATTTTTTTTGAGATTACAATAACTTACGGATACAAGTCCTACTAATTAACCCATAGCTGGGGAGGATAAGAGGCAGATTCATACCTTCCCCAAGGGTATGTGTGTTTAAGTGAATATAATGAATCCACCTGGAATTGGATCTTGGTTCTTTAACATCTGATTCTGAGCCATTAACCATTATACATCTTGCACATCCAAGCTTACAGCACCTAGTGTTCCCAAGCAGTCAACTATTGAGGTACTGACAAGGCTTGATGCTACTCAACTTCAGTGATCGTATGGCCACATTATTGCTTTGCAATAAAACTGCTATAATAAGAGTAATAATAATGTATGGTCAAGTGGTTGAATAGTTAGAAAATTCAATTTTTGATTATGAGACCTAGGTTCAAAAATCTTTGTTTATCAAATAGTTGACTTTTTGATGTTATCAGCCTGGGGGAGGTGATCCCAGCATGCAGCACCTTTGGAAAGTGCCTAAAAAAAACCATGCCACAGGTTGACCCAAGTGTCATGGATAGACAGAAGCCATAGGAGCCATTGGTGGTTGTGCTAGCACAAAGTCACAAGTCATCATGACCGAGGGTTTGAGCATACCAGCCTTGTGCAGTGTTGATCGCACAAGATAATGCACTCTATCCCAGAAACTGTAAATAAGGTCCGCTTACAATAGTTGCAGTATAAATACCACAGGTGGGGATCTGTAGGTGTTGAACAAATGCGAATGTACCTGAGTAGGCGTCTGCACCTGGGATTGGCTAGCTGCCCTAGCAGACCAGCATACTTGGATATGAGTGGCCAGCCACCACCAAAACTACTACTACTACTACTAATAATAATAATAATAATAATAATGACATCTGAGTAAATATTATTATGGAATCTGGTTAAGTAGGAACAACCATCTGAGGTAATGAATGGCAACAAAATTAGCTAAATTTTATCAAATAACAGAAACCACATCCCATGTAGACTTCAAACAAAAATGTCTAATATGCACATGTGTCTAGAAGGGAACATAATGGCATAATTAAAATTAATTTCCGCACTACATTAAAACAAAAGCTTAAGATTTGATTGATTTTTAGGCAATGTATAACCTTTGTACCTAAAAAAAAAAAAAAAAAAACAAATGGTGTGCCAAAAAGATGGTTATTCCCTTGACGCTGCTATTCTTTGTTTTGACTGACTTGGCAATGTTTATTTACAAGATTATAAAATATGTGAACCAAACATAATGCGATAAATATTATTTACCATTTTATAATAAGATGAATTTGAAAAGAAATCATTTTATTAAAATATTTATAAGAAATTATCAAAATATATGAACCAACAACAATGCAAGATTTGCCATAAAGTGGTTGCCATAAAGATATATTATAGACAATCTGTAATTAAACACAAAGAAAACTTTGCCCTTTCAATGAACAGAGAGCTACACACTCAAAATATTTAGTGTTTGTGGATTTGCCTCAGATCTAAAATAAAAGAGGGTTTGGTTGAGAGGAAGAGATGCTCTCAACTTCTTTTACTGAATTTATATGGTTAGAGCAAATGAAAGTAAAACTCTGAAAATTGCATTTTTTCAAAATTTATAATTAAAGTTACTTGTCATTGTGTTGATTTCATTTTCTTTGTCACAGACATTTTCATAACTTTACGAATAAAAAAAAATTACTTTTCATATTTATTTCTCTTTAAAGTGGTAAACAATAAATATTTCATTATAGTTAGTCTAATCTTATAATTGTGTAGATATAAAATTATTCTTGTAAATAAGAAATTTAATAAATAGAGTTAAACATCTTTGCTGTCATTTCTCAAGAATAAAAACAAATGTGTAAATCTACTTTCATGTGCTTGAATTTTATCCAAATTCTAATCATCACTTTTTAAAACAATAAACTCTACCGAGGAAGTCAAAAATGGTGAAATAACAGTATCCAAAAGAATAACTGTCCTTTTGACACACCATACTTTTTTTGTGGGTAGAAAAGCTAAACATTGCTGATTTGCTTTTCTTTACGGCTTATCAATCAATTTTTGTTTTTATTTTGTGGGTAATTTAAGGCTGAATCATATTGGATTATTTTTTTGTGAGTGAATATTGAATTAACAATTTCTTTTTCAGATAACAATGATCTGTCCAGATACATGTACTACTATTTTACCCCTATTTGGGGGATGGAGATGGATTTATACATTTCCCAAGTGTATTTGCACATAAGTGAATGCAATTAAGTCAACTGGAATTTGAACTTAGCTCTCCAATTTTCCATTCTGAGCCAATATCCATTACACCACTCACACATCCACTATACTAGAGAGAAGTCTAATATCTCGAAAAAATGTTTTAAGAGAAAGATTTTATAAATTTCAACCTAACATTAAGTGTTCGATTAATGAATGCTGAATTTTTCCCTGTAGGGAAATGGCTAATCTTACCATCATCAGTACAGGAGACCTCAACGTTGCATATAAGATGCAAGTTGACATTCTGAGACATTTTTTAGTCTGCATCTAATATGCCATCAAATTCAATTTTTTTAATAAAATGTTAAATAAACACTTTAGAAAGTAATTTTATATTTTTTCTTACCAGATAAAATCTCATTTCCAAGAATTGAATGTTCAGGATGATACCATATCTGTGATGAGAGAGAGACAAAGAAAAAAAAAAAGAAACCTTATAAACATTTCATACAAGATCAGAAAATACAAAAGGACGATTACAAAATCAAAGTTCCCATATTAAGTTAATATTCTCACTTTCCACACATTATGTTATCGTCTACGAGTGACAGTGCAATCATAAATGTTAAATGTTGAAAATGTATTTAAGACAAAAGCATTTAAAAGAAGGAACAGACTCACTTCTGCCATCTGCCTATTTTTCATGAGTAGCTCAACAGGTACTCCAAGGACTTTTTTCACCAAGGCATAACGAATAAAAAGTCTTCCCCTACCCTGTAGGTTGCATACCTGACAATGGAGAGAAAAATACTTTTAAATTGTTTCAAGATAAAAAAAAAAGTGTTAAAAGTACTTTTAAAGTGCTTTTTGAGTAAAAAAAAAAAAAAAAAGCTTATATATATATATATATATATATATATATATATATATATATATATATGTGTGTGTGTGTGTGTGTGTATGTGTTGACCATCAGCAGTACTGACCAGATATTTTATTAAAATTTAGATTATGTAATGGTCATTCTCTGCTCAGCAGCTGAAGGTTGCATTGTGCATGAAACTCTGTCAGGGAAAATATATATATATATGTGTGTGTGTGTGTGTGTGTGTATGATGTATGTGTGTATATTAGCTTGAAACAGAATCAAATAGAAAACATTTCTAAATTTAATATGTTGCTGCCAGATGTACTTTATCATCATACCCAGAACTATGAAAAGCGTGTACTTGTACGTGTGTATATCAAATATCTAGTAGGTCTTGCAGTGTGTTGATTGTTGGTTAGATAGATTAGTTTTTATTTGCTACATTTATAGTGCTCAATATCAGAGTCATAGCATTTATAGATACAGACAGTATAGACAGAGGAATCAACATTGCATGATGACTGTCAGTTTCTCAATGCAGTCTTCAAATCTTGGTTTGAAGTTCACATTGAAAAGTGAAACTAACAGTCACCATGCAGTGTTGATTCCTATATCTACACTGTCTTTTTCTCTTTCTCTCATATATATATATATATATATATATATATATATATATGTGTATGTATTTTTTAAAGTAGTTTTTAAGAAATGAGGCTTATGGTCATATCCCATTGAAACACCAGTTCCTGTACAATCACCACAAAGTTAAGCAACATTGAACCTGGTCAGCACCCAGATGGCTAACTCTTGGGAATGCCAGGTGCTGTAAGCTTGGATGTGCAGATGGCGTAATGGAAAATTGAAAAGAAAAGAAAAATGTGGTGAAAGTTTTCTGAATTCAACAGCTTTTCAATCAACTCTGATCAAAAAGGATTGATGATAAATCTGACAGCTTAAGCAAACAAAATTTGATTTGGTAATTTCATTTTATTGTTTAAGTTTTAAATTTATTAATAATAAGGATTGGCCAAAAAGCTGGCTAATTAAAAGAATTTTCAACTCCTTTTTTTGTTTGATAGTGAATTTTCAAAATGTCAGCATTTCTTCTTGCTATGATGAAGTTTTTTTTACCACCAAGAAATTGTCTAAACTTTTGATTCTATTTTTGATTCAGAAAATTTTGGATTAGAACAGGAATAGTTTTAGTTTATAAACATGTAAACATATTCATAATGTAAACATGTAAACACATTCATAATGTAAACATGTATACACATGATAATTTCATAGACTGATAAGTCAATCAAAGAAAAGCATCTTCAGATTCCTAGTGTAATCTTTAAGAAGAATAAGAATGAATTTATTGCATACTCACTTTCTTTGATTCCTTCACTATGTCTGTAACCATGCTGAAGATTGGGTTAATCCTACTCAAAAGAAAAAAATAGTTTTAAAAGTTAATGAGCAAAGAATTCAGAAGATTTATTTAGATGAAAAAAGAAATACAATGATTTATCATTCTGAGTAGCTAAACATTATACTACCAATATATCCATATATCGTTCAAGTCATCTAAAGATTATGTGAGCATGAAACTCAGGTTATGACTAGAGCTATCCTTTCATAGGATTTAACAATGTTAAGCATTTTTTGCTTAGTCTAGGGAATCTATGCTTCAAGCACTTTACTGAGGAAGGTAAGTTTGACTTCGGCCTTTTTTCTCTCTTTTATCAGTTTTTATTTGAGGCTGTACCTGGATAAGAGTTTTAGATTTTAGTAAGTTGTCCATTGGTTTCATCAACAGTTTTTGTTTTTCTTATATATATATATATATATATATATATATATATATATATATATATATATATATATATATAGAAATAGAAAGATGCTAACTTGAATTTCAGCCATGTTCCTTTCTGGGAGCTCAGAATCAGAATAAGTACTACTATCATACAATATGCATCATGCAATATATTTTAAATGACAACTGTGAAAAGAAAAATTCTAAAGAAGGATCTGCAATGTAACTGATTCTGACTTGGCATCTCAGCCTCATTCATTTTCTCACTGACCTGACACTGAGTCCATCTGTCTTTTCTACAATTATTTTATGGGAACTGCTCTCATGAGTTTTTTTCCCTGGTGCCCAAACTACGTGAATTTAAGCATGTTACTAGATTGGCATCTAGGTCCCAACATTTTTCTGTTGATATAGCTTAATGCAACTGTCACTTCTACTCCAACAGTTTCTTTTCTCGCACTTCCCATCTGTGGAACTCTCTTCCATTTACTTGCTTCTCTGATAAATTCAATCTTCTAAAATTTTAATGCAGCATCAATTGCCATCATCTATCTTCTTGAATCCCATTCATCTTTTGTCCTTTCCTCAATCCTCCCTATACTCAGTCTTTTCCCTCACTTTCACTCCCTGTAACACCCTGCGTACTAGTGGCATTCTCATCTCACTTCAAGTGAAATGATTAAAAAAAAAAAAAAACTAACACAAAACTTAAGAAGAGGCTGTTGAGGTTTCTAGGTCACATAACGAAGAAAGAAGGCTTGGAAAATCTGATACTCACGGGATAGATTGAAAGCAAGAGGGACAGAGGAAAACAATGCATAACCGACCTAGTAAGCATCAGTGAACGTATGGCAGAACAGGGTTTAAGAAAGATAACAAAAAAGACAAAATTTATTAAGAGCTACAAAGGACATAAAATTGTAGAGGGTCATGATCACGTATGTCTTGAGGGGGACGTGAAACATAAATAAGAAAAACAACAAACACCTTGAAAATGACTAAAGAAATGGCCAAAAGTGTTAAGGACAACAGATACTACGGACAGTTTTTACATTCCTTTACTCCAACCAAATGGGAAAATTTAAGAATATTAGAAAAGCTCAATAAAAAAAAAAATTCACCAAATTTTCCTTGTCTGTCATATTCATCAAACCATCATATTTAAAAGAATGCTTGCTGTTTATATATATATATATATATATATATATATATATATGAAATGGGTCAAGTCCAACAATTTTTAATATATTTTCTGTTTATACATTATTTTAATAGATACAATTTATGTAAGTAAATGGTCTGTTTTTTTTCTGTCATGGTAATATTTTGGTAGGTATGTGTAGGATATGCACTCTTCAGCTTACTATACCAACATGTGCTCAAATTTCATTTTGCATTATTATTTCATGATTAAAATAATCAAAATATATTACAGAATAAGCTTTCATTTAAATATTTTATATTTCTGTATCTGACTATTTCTGAGATGAGGTATTATGTACATTATTTAATTATTCAGACTATTGTCCTCGTCTTTGTCGGCATATTTATTACAACGTTTCAGTCATTATACGCTCCAGCCTTCTTCATTCCAACCACCTGAAGAAGGCTGGAGCATACAATGGCCAAAACATTGTAATAAATATGGCAAGAAAGAACAATAGTTTGAATAATGTAAATAATTTTATATTTCTGCCTTTCAGTTCTCTATTATGTTTTGAAACAATAATATATTTGTCGTTTTGTTTTTTTTTAATTTTTCTTTTTCATGGATGCCATGGTCTTTGGAGGCTTGTTTAGAGATCAAATTAATGGCATTTTAAGCTTCCTTCACATGAATAGCAGTAAAGTTTTGAATATGTAAGAATTAAATATTACAAGAATAGGGGGGGTACCAGAAACTTGGAAATACCAAAGTGGGGCATGGCCAAAAAACAGTCGGGAACCACTGGATTAGATGTTTTGAACTTTTTATAGTAAATGATAAATTCAAATAAGAACCTGACATTTATTGTTTATTAGAACATTGGAATCCATCTTGCGTATTAATAAATCTATCATTTGTCCATGCATTGGATATTGCTCATGCTGTCATATCTAGTTTGTTGTTCCTACTGTAGATCTCAAGATTCTTGACAAAATTCAAAGATGGGTCTGCAATGTAATCGATCCTGATCTGGCATCTTGACTTCAGTCAATTTCTCACCAATGTGGCATGGCTTCCCTCTGTTTTTTTCTACAAATATTTTCATGGCAACTGTTTTAATGAGCTTTATATTCCCAGTGACTCGACTACACAAATTTAAGGGTGTTATTAGACTGATAACTAGGTCACACCCTTTTACTGTTGAACTAGTTGGATGCAACCACCATTTCTACTTTAGTGGTTTATTTTCTCACATTTCTCACCTGTGGAACATCCTTCCATTTACTGGCTTCCCTGATAACTACAATCTTCAAAAATTTAAATGCAATCTTCTGTCAGTCACAATCTTCTGTTTTCTTGAACCCTGTTCCTTCTTTTTCCTTTCCACAATCTTCCCTACTAAAGTCTTTTCATTTTCTTTCAGTATCTGTAACAATTCCCCAAGTCCTAATGGCATTGTCACCTTGCTTGGGGTGAAATAAAAAAGTTAAGAAAATCCATTCAGTTCAAACAAAAAGGTCAACTCAGTTTAAGCAAAAAGATAAATTCAGTTCAAACAAAATGATTCAACTAGTTCAGACAAAAAAATCCATTTACTTTAAATAAAAGAAGCATTTGAACAGAAAGTCCATTCAGTTAAAATCCAGGTGTTCAAACCATTGATAGTTCCTTAAAAATATTTTAAAACTGACTAATACCAAAACAGGAAACAGGATTAGTGATAGTATAAGATGGGGCATGTTTGTTTTGTAATAAGAGAGAAATTTCAGATCAGTTCAGATGCTAACATTTACATTTAATTTCCAAGCATAAAAACAAAAGAAATACATATGAATGTTACTTTGAAAGTAAAGACTCCTACCTTTGGCTTGTTGGGCTATCAAGAAGCTTGTAGATCCAACACCAATAATCAGTTTTGGAAAACCAGCCACCATTTTCTAAAAGAAGAAGACAAGCATATAAGAATGTTTTGGAAAAGTGTTTATATATATATATATATATACACACAAGTATAGGATTGGTGTATACAGAATAAATTCCAATAACCAACAAATACTATTCTTAAGAGTGCTCACTCAATACAGAGTAGAGCAAATATAATTATTTATTCGAAAATTATAACAAATATGTTATAAAATCACTACAAAAATAGCCATTTTGTTTCAACACTTCTGGTGTCTTATCAAGTGGTGGTGTTGGATGTAGAATAAAGGGTTTATTCTACATTCAACACCAAAACTGTCACCACTGGGTGTTGACTTCAATGTTTACTTTTATATTTACATGTGCTCTATCCTTGATATTGAGCACTTTAACCCATAAATATAGCAGACCACAAACTATATATATATATATATATATATATAAAATAACATACAATGAGTGCTGTCGGTAATAAAACAGTGCTTGATGCAAAAAAATAGAACTAAAATTTATGTAAATGATACAGGGTGTTTCACAATTTTTGAAAGGAAATGACCGGGCACAAATCAAGGACCCCAAATGATAGAGTAATGCAAATTACATTTATTGAAAGGTAAAAAAGGTAACATTTTAGGATCTGCAACCATTTAGTATCAAACATGAACAATGTCAAGAGGAGCCCTTGGGTACATGCTCCAGATATTCGCCCTTCAGTTGAGAATACTGTTGAATGCAAAGTTGTTGAATAAAATTCCTCCTGAGTGATCGTCTGAAGTTGGTACTTGAAATCCTATTTTGCACTTAATTTTGGGTTATGTCCATTATCATCAGTTTAATAGACTTTTCTCATTATCAGCAGGAGCCATCTACCAAAGGGAGATTACCTATATTTTTTACATGCTTTCTATTTTCAAAATATCAAAGGGCAAAAAACTGTACATGATTTTTTGCAAGTCTTGCTAAACGAGCTAACAAATCAATCCTAAAACCTGAATCGACATATATATTTTTAACTTACAATATATCATTAGCAAATACATTGTCAACCGAACTTTTAGGCTTCATAAGAAATGTGATTTCTGATTCGTTTTTAACTTACGTTTTAATCCTTTGCGGAATATTTTCTCCAAAATCTCACAGAAAGGCTCGAGTTTTTCACTTTTGTCATTGACAATTCCTTTGGACAAGCGGAAATCCAATGTCAGTGCTACAAAAGAAGAAGAAGAAAAACACAGCAAATGTAACATTGTTATGACCTCATATGCAATTAAGTGTATGTTATAAAATGGTGTTTGGTAAGTACAATCAGTGTAGATCAAGTCAGTTGTGTTGCTATATTAAGCTCCACAGCTGTCTTCAAGTAAATGCACCAATGTTGCACAGCCTCAAGAGGAAGGTGTTTTTGTATGTATTAAATAGCACAAAGCATCTTTTTCTTTTATACAACTAAATACAACGCCTCTTAGTGGACATTAAGAGAAGTTCCCTGGTGTATATATATATATATATATATATATATATTTAAGAAATAGTAGATATTTTTATATATATAGTGCTCAATATTAAAAATAGAGTGTTAATAATATTATATGAAAAGATTATTTAATTTTTCAAAGTTTCTTGGTAAAATTTTGAGTCTGAAAATTGAAAAAAAAAAATTGTAATACCATTTTAAACTATCAAAAATGATTAAAGGCAATAATCAAGAATAAAGGTTACACAATTGATTATTGATGCAAGAGGGCCAATACTTTTGTCTGATGTTAAATGTTTTTTAGGTGTTTTTTTGTATCATTGTTTGACATTAAAATAAAAATTTTGTTGTCGGCATTATTGGACATTCTTTCAAATCCATTATTTCGTCATTTGTGAAAAAAATATACAGGAATTTTCCATGAAAATTTGAGGTATTATAGCTTCATTTGTAATTGTGGAAGCGGGAGTAAATAATTCTGTCCACAACTGTATAAGCTTGTGTGTGCGTGTGTGTTATGTATGATATGGGGCTTAAGGCAATATCACAATGAAACACTGGTTCCAGTATGATCACTGAAGTTAAGCAACATCAAACTGGGTCAGCACCTAGATGGGTGACCGATTGGGAATATCAGGTGCTGTAAGCTTAGATGTGCAAGTGATGCAATGGATAAAGGCTTGAAATGCTGAGTTCCAATTCCAGTTTGGTTCATTATATTCACTTACATACAAATACCTTTGGGGAAGATATAAATCCGCCTCTTCTTCCTCCAGCTATAGGTTAATTAGTAGAACTCATATAAAAAGAAAATCATTATAATCTTAAAAAAAATTCTTACAATCTAATATAGATTTATACAATCAACGTAGATTAGGTAGCTGCTCAAGCAGACAGGCATACTTAGAAATGAGTGTGCAGCTATTATAATCTGCTACATTTATTGGGAAGAAACTGCTTTGCATACAGAGAGGAAATAAATTAGTCAAATATTGTCGAAAAAGTTAAACGTAACTGCCTCTTCTACTCCAACAGCTTCATCTTTTGCACTTCCTGACAGCAGAACTCCCTTCCTCTTACTTGCTTCCCTGATAACTAAAATCTTCAAAAATTTAAATGTAATGTCAATCAACATCTTCTGTTGCCTTGATCCCCATTCTTTTTATTCTTTCCCCATCCTTAATTTTTATTATGGATTCAGGGTAGGAATCATCACTGCTTCAATTCTAGATCATTGTTTCTGTTGTGGAAAATTTTATCCAGGAACACTTGGGAGAGGAAAGGCTACTTGTGAATACCACTAATTGATTATTTTGTTTTTTTTATGGCTTACCAACCCTTTGAATGTTATTCAATGCCAGAAAATATTTTAAGATATTTCAGAAATTTTCATGGATAATAATGATTAACCTTTACAATCTGCTCCCTATCAGCATGTTTGATGCTCAACTCCATGAGAGCACCTCACTTCTTGGTCTCACGTTTTCCACTGAACAGAGGTGGAACAACTACATTGAATCATTTGTTACATCTAGCACAAGGAAAGTTGGTTCTCTGTGTCATGCCAGAAGGTTTTTCCAGTCTGAGTCCATCCCTCACAGCTACAAATCTACCATTTGTCCATGCTTACTTCCCTGATAACTATAGTATCTGTCTATATTTCTGAGATAAGGCATTATGTACATTAAAGACACATGGCACAGTGGATAAAGGTGTTGGTTAGATCCAGTGACAGGATCCAAAGAGTGTGAGTTCAATACCCGGTTAAAGCAGTGGAGAACTTTCAGAGGGAAATTAATAGAAGATAACTGATAACTGACATTTATTAAAAATATGGCACGTGGAACTACCGCAGTGAGCGAAATAAAGGGTTAAGTTCAACATTCCAACCACCTGAAGAAGGCCGGAGCGTACAACGGCCAAAACGTTGTAATAAATATGGCGACAAAGATGAGGACAATAATCCGAATAATGTAAATAATGTACATAATACCTGATCTCAGAAATATAGACAGATAATAAGGAGTAACATATTGTTATAACTTTCTCCTAGTGGTTATAATATTATGTCTTGTTTAGGGTACTCACCGTGACGTCTGTCAGAAATTCTCCTGACTGACTCCAACAGACTTCCCTGATTCACTTGGAGTTCTTTATTTAAGGCATCATGTCTAGTTCATTTGTGTTACTGGGGGTGTGTTATTTACTCCATGACACATATACATAAAGAGTAACATATAATGTAACAAATACACAAGAACCAACATGTAATGTAACATCTTTATAAGGAGTAATATGTAATGTAATGAACACATATGGAGTAATATAACATGAGTAACATATGTAATAAATACACTAGGAGTAATATATACATATATTATTCGGACTATTGTCCTCATCTTTGTCGCCATATTTATCACAACATTTTGGCTGTTGTACGCTCCGGCCTTCTTCAGGTGGTTGGAATTTCGAACTGAACCCTTTATTTCGCTCACTGGGGTAGACTGTTCTAGTTCCAAGTGCCATGTTTGATGAATGTCAGTTATCAGTTATCTCCTGCTAATTTTCCCTCTGAAAGTTCTCCACTGCCTTAACCGGGTATTGAACACACATTCTTTGGGTCTTATCACTGGATCTAACCAACACCTTTATCCATTGTGCCATGTGTCCTTGAGAACATCTGGGTATTATAAACCTAATGTCTTCAGCAACCATTTTACCAGTGCTCATATTGCAATTTTGCTGTTATCATTATCAATTTTTGAAGATTATAGTTATCAGGGAAGCAAGGTATTTTTTGACACCTCCTTGTGGCTTCTGCCATTTTTTTTTCAGCATTGTTTCATGGCCATCCACCATTTTTTAAATTATTTTTAAACTGATGTTACATTGTCAGTCATCGATTAATAATCTACATCGTGTATCTGCACGGCCGGGGGGGGGGTCCATACTATGCAGGAACCCTAACGAGGCTGGAGCTACAAAAGGGCTAATTTCAGCAGCATTTTTTGCTTTTTGTACTTTTTACTTATTTTTCTACCTAAATTATATTGTCAATCATCAATAATAATCGACAGGGCTGGTGCTTATTACCCTGATCCTCACGTGGGGGCCCCATGCCTATTGGGGAGGTTGGGGCAGAAGTGATATTTTCAGTTGCACTTATTTTTTTAAATTGTAATTTCCTTTCTGAACAGTTCTTTTAAATCAATTAATGCACTTACTTAGATATAAATCAAATTAGATGAAACATTTTTTTTGAGTTTTTTGGTGTAGAGAGTGTGGAGGAAGTCCCATATCATATCAAAGTTTTGGGGAGGTGCTCAAGACCCTACCCCCAGCCTTGACTGTTAGCATAAGACTTACATTTACATCTATCAATTGACGACTTAAATTTGTAAAGTCAAGGGACCAAAGAGGAAAGCTCATTAAGATTATTACCATGAGATTATTTATACAAAAGGTACAAGGAATTTTTGTTACATTGTTGGAAAAGTGAGTGAAGCCAATGAGATAGTGTTTTCTCATCAACTTTCTCTCCATACATGGTCCACTATGCTTGATTTCCTGTTCACACTTTGGATTATGACATTGAAATGTTCTTTAAGGTGCAATTTAAAAAACATAGCTGGTTACTTGCTGCTTCCTTTATGTGCCATCTCCTTTCAGGACACAGGCGATCATGGCCCTGCACATCTTCCTCTCCCATGTAGTTCTTAATATGTTTTATCTTTTTGTTATTTCTCCAAAATCCTGTTCTACCATCCATTTACTAAAGCTCATCAAGCACGTCATACAATGTTTTCCACTTTCTCTCAGCCCTACCCTATTTATGTAATAACAGATAACATGTTGTTGTTAAAAAACAAAATTTGCAGAGAATTTTTTGGCTTAAGGATAGCATTCAAACCAATTAAACAGACCATGACAGACTGAATGCTTTGAAAATGTCATACTTGAGCAATTCAGAATGGAATGTCTAAATTATTTCCAGTTTATATTGTTCAAAAGTGGGGAATAAACGCCTACTTGTATATTTGCAATAAACTTGTTACATACAAAGTCTGCACTTCAATATATTTTTTTTAATCATTTCACCACAAGCAAAGAAACAAAGCCACTAAGACACGAGGTGTTATTGAGTGTTACAGAGTACAACAAAGAAGAAAAATATTAAGGAGTGAGAGTAAAATAGAAGAACAAGAATTAAGAAGACAGAAAATAACTGACATTTCATTTAAATTTTTGAAGATCAAAGTTGAATGGGAAGCAAGAGAGTTCCACAAGCAAGAAGTGCGATAGAAGAAACTGTCAGCATAGAACTTATGGTTACAGCTAGTCATTTCAACTGTAAAATGATAAGACCTTGTTGCCAATCTGATACTGAGCTTAAATTCATAAAGTCTAGGTACCATAGAGGTAAGTTCATCAGAACAATTACCATGAAAGTATTTATAAAAAAGGCACTGGGAAGCTACATTACGGCAGTGGGAAAGTGACTGAGAGCAAGATGCCAGGTCAGGACCAATAACATTGCAGATTCTTTGGATTTTATCGAGAATCTCTAAGTGTATAGCAGAAGCACCAGACCAGATGTGCCAGCAATATTTAAAGCAAAGATGAATGGTAGACTTATAAATATGTAGATAGATTCTGGAGAGAAAAATTGTCTAGCAAAGTGACACAGCGAAAAATATTTCTAGCATTTGACTTAGCAATTGTTAAATTGTTTGAATGTTAGTTTTTTCAAAGACAGGGGGATGAACAGCAGACGTAATGAAGGGGACTACCAAAACTTGTTAGCCCAGGGGTTTTTAATGGAATGCCAGTTCACTTTTCGCTAGAAAATGGTATACCCTAATGAAAAAAGCCCCAAACTTAATAAAAACAAAATTTTATCACGAAAGATTTTATGTTATTACTAGAAGGAGAGACCAAAGTATTTTTTAATTATTTTTTTAAATTTTTTATTTCTTTTTAGAATGTTTGAAATTTTGGTCGAAAATCATTTTTTTTTTGTTTTTTTAAGTCAGAGGTTACCTAATATTTAATAGCATTACGTTTTTTTTTTTAGTTGAAAACACATTAATGTGGAAATTCTTGCAAAAATCAAATAATTGTTGGAATGTAATGAAATTTTCAGAACTTATTCAAAAATGAATGAATTTATTTTAGAAATGTTTGTTTTTTAGAAAGGCATGGTAAAAATATTTTTTTTTTTACGTCTGATACCCCCACTTAATTTTATGAAAACTTTAAAACTAGTAACACTGTAATTTTTTTTAATTAAATGAGGAAGACTTTGAGGAATATAAATCATCAATTTCGTGTAAAATTTTATAATCGCTCTCTCTAAAAATTGTTTCAAATCAGTTAGGAGTCCCATTCTGAAAATAAATCTCCTGTTTTTATACATACATAATTGGCCCCTGATTAATATATATATATATATATTATATATATATTAATCAGGGGCCAATATTAGAGGGGTTCTTAGGGGGCCGTGAGCTGTAACCCATATTTAAATCTGGCACTGAATGGGAACTTGTATTTATGTAGATGGGCGTGTAGGAAAATAACGCTTCTTGAGGTTTTAAAACCATTTTTAGGATAAATCAAGGGAAGTAACTGTACTTCCTTCTTATTCGGTGTTTAACGTTGATTAAAAAAAATATATATACAAAAGATTATTACACAAATAAATCATAAATGTATTGACAATTCTTTTTCCGACGCCGATAATTTTTCGTACATCTTCTATCAGCCTACAGATTAAATAAAAGCGTATATGTTACTGTCAAATTCAAAGTTAATCCTGAAAGTATTCGTTTATATTACTCCCCGCCCGATCTTTTTAAATATTTTTAAACTAAACACAAGGTGAATTCCTGGATAAAAAATTAAGAAAAAAATAAAAACACTGAACGAGGGCCTTTTATTTAATAATTTCTATGGCAGTATTTAATTGCAGGAATACAAATAAGAATTAAGTAGATTCAAACTACAAACACGAAGAAAGATTAGTTTTATAATTCATTTTTTGTTTATTAACGAATTTTTTTTATTGATATAAAATAAAAACAAACTAAAATTACATATTTTCTATAAAATTATGAAAGGTTTCAAACAGAGTAATTAATAAAAATAATGTCGTTATGTTAAAAAAAGATTTTAAAAAAATGCTAGTTTATGTAGGTTTTTGTTTAAAAATACAAAGTACAAACACCTGCTTCATCATTAACAATACAATTAATTTACGATTGTTCTCATTGAAGAAAAACTTTCGGATCACATATGCAAATAAAAACAAACGAATAACTAGCATTTTAAAGATAATTTTGAAGTAATAAATAAAATAACACTCAGTCTCCTTCTGTGTAATTTCTAAATTGAGGGATAAAACAAGAAAATAAATCGGGTAGGTAAAAAAGAAAAAAAAATACAAAGAAAGAAGAAAAACCGTCATAAGAAAAATAAGACGACCAATACCTTTTAATTGTTTTAACAATGGATCGCTCACCGACATTTGCAAGATAGGTGTTGATGTCTCCCTCGTTAAGCAAGATTGTGTTTAGTTTGACAATGTGTATACTATATTCACTTCAGTGAATAATATCACAGGTGCCGTCAAATGGCCATTTCAAAGGCAACACATATTTATTATTGAGAGTACTCTCCCTTACCTCAGTGACGTCACGTATCGATTAATGAACACTATTTGGTCGATTGATATTTGTACAGAGAGACATCTCCCTCTGCCTCACTCGAAATCCACTCACAATTTACAGATCACAACATCTATCAAAGAGATGACATTTAAATTTTTATTATTGTATTATTCAAAAATATTAACATATTATCAGCAGATAACTGTTAATATCAACAAGTGAATGCAAATAGTTATTAATTAAAAATATTAATATAATAATAATATCCATAGCTACATGTACAAGAATGTCATTTTTGATAAAAGTTTTAAAAAAAACTAACCATAAATACATAAAAAAAGGGTATATTGTCAAAAACTTCTTTTTTTCCACAATATACCTATTTGTCACTTGTGATATTTTATAATGCTTATTACCTAAGCAATAATATTACTGAATAATTTTTTTAAAACGTTAAAGTATATTTAATCACATCTCCCTAATAGCTGTTGTGATCTGAGTTAAAATACTTCTTGTTTATTCAATTCAATGCCATTCTTTTTAGAGGCATGACTGGGTACACTTAGGAAAAGCAGTTGTAATTTATCATCCACTTACTAAAAAAAATGTTTCTTTTTTTTAACACAGCAACTGAATTAAATTTGTTACCTAACAATGATAAAATTAATACCATGTTAGAAAAACAAAAAAGTATATATATATATATATATATATATATATATATATATATATATATATATATATATATATATATATATTCAGTTGTATAGCTATGAGGTTGTAAGCCTGGGTTTCATGCTTTTGTGATCATAACATTGTACTAATTACTGTGCATATTATGAAATGGACCAAGTCTGACAATTATTTTAATACATTTATTTATTTTTTTTTTTACATTATTTTTATAGATAAAAATATTTAAGTAAATGCTCTGTTTATAATAAACAGTATTAATAACATTTACCGGCCTGAGTGTCTGAGAAATTTCATAGGAAATATGTGTCTTCCGACAGGAATCGAACCTATATCCTACAAGGACACATGGCACAGTGGATAAAGGCGTTAGTTAGATCCAGTGACAGGACCCAAAGAGTGTGAGTTCAATGCATAGTTAAGGCAGTGGAGAACTTGGAGTGGGGAATTAACAGGAGATATAACTGATATTCATTAAACATGGTACATCGAACTAGAACTGTCTACCACAGTGAGCGAAATAAAGGGTTCAGTTCGACATTCCAACCACCTGAAGAAGGTCGGAATGTACAATGGCCAAAACATTGTAATAAACATGGCAACAAAGATGAGGACAATAGTTCGAATAATGTAAATAGTGTATCTGTTAAGTGTTTCCCCACAATCTCAATACACCCTTGCTGTTAATTACAACAAAAAAGATAAAGATAGTCTACAAGCTGACTTTTTGGGGTACAGAGACTCTTAGCAAAAAGAACAAAGTGGATCATTGATAAACGAAAATTATTTGCGATAACTCCTAATATAAAGTTTGTGGTTAGCTGTCTTTAGATATTTTGTGCGTGGGAAGATTTCTGTTATCTAATGGCAAAAACAAATCACGTAGAGAAATAATAGTATGGAGATTATCCAGAGATATTGTGTTCCTGAATACTTGAGGGAATTTTCAATACCAAAAGCACTTCTAATTCCATGTTTGAGATATCTCTCCAGTCAACACTTGTATTAACTATGCTACCTAGGATTGAACTCACTCTCCTTGGCTTATAAATTTCTTCAGATATTAGACTCTTACTCCTCAGCTTAATGGACGTGTTCTAAGCAGTTGCAGTAGTTTGTCTCCCTTCCTGCCAAAATGGATTTAACCTTTAGGCATAATTTAAGTTTATTGCAATTTCTCCTCAGGGTGGAATTTTCGATTGTTTGGTGAAGTGCTGTCACTCTACTGATCAAGATCCTATTTTTAACATTTAAAGACTTTGAATTATCAAAGGGTCCAGTAGAGGTGTTAATTAAAAGAATGCTAGTTATTCTGAGTAATTTCACTTGTTAATTATGCTGACTTTTGTGGTTCTGTCTAGGATTGAACTCACTCTCCTTGACTTATAAATTTCTGAAGATATTTGACTCCTACACCTCAGCTTAATGGATGTGTTCTAAGCAGTTGCAGTAGTTTGTCTCCCTTCCTGCCAAAATGGATTTAACCTTTAGGCATAATTTAAGTTTATTGCAATTTCTTCTTTGGGAACATTTTTTTTCTGCTAAAGCACTGTCCCTCAATTCATTGGGTAAGATCCAGTTTTAACTATTCGTTTAAGTGGAAAATTTGTTGGTTTCTTCATAAACACAATCTAACAATTTTTTTTTTATTAGAACTTACCAAAAATCTAAGTGGGAAGCATTGGTACCAATCTTCATATCTGTTAACACTGTTACTCATGGAAAAGTTGGATGGTGAAGACAAGACAAAGTGGAAAATCTATGAACAATGCATTATTTTGCACCATTTCTGATTATTTAGACTGGAGTTGTCTTCATCGTCCTTAGAAGAAGAAGAAGAAGAAGCCTCATCACTTTGGCTGAAGGAACAACTAGATTGGATAATGCTGACATTCTCCTTTGTGAAGACGTCCTCCTCTAGGTGCCATTCTGTTAAGGACTATAAAAGGACATTAAGACATTCTGTCTCTCTTCTTCTGGCCCTGAATAGAAGTAGAAAAAACAACAGAACTTCATGCTGAGGGAGATTTCCTCCTTTGGTAAGCAGTCTTAATTTCAACTAGCCACGTGGTACATTTTCTAACGGGCAAGACCAATAAATGTTTTTCTTCCTATTTCAACTGTCTTTGTACATGCATATGCACATATATAATTTTAAGACATTTTTATGTTTATACATTCTTTTTTATAGATACAAATATTTAAGTAAATGCTCTGTTTATAATAAACAGTATTAAACATTTACCAGCCTGAATGTCTGAGAAATTTTCATAGAAAATATTCGTCCTCCGACAGGAATTGAATCTGTATCCTATACGGAACCGTCATATAGCCTGATTGAGCTGCAGAGCGTTTCAGTTATCAAGGTCAATTTTACTGTTTTTAAATGTTGTTAATACTGTTTATTATAAACATAGCATTTACTTAAATATTAATTTCTATAAATAGAATGTATAAACATAAAAATGTTTTAAAATAATTGTCAGACTTTGTCCATTACATAATGTGTGACGTCATTTGTTTACATTTGAATACACATCGAGCAGATATGAATGTATGTGAGAAAACCATGGAAAATTGTATTTTAAAAACAGTGAAATTGACCTTGCTAACTGAAACGCTCCTGTGTTGAAATCGGTAAAGGCATGTCAGGCTATATGACGGTTCCAGATAGGATACAGGTTCAATTCCTGCCAGAGGACGCATATTTTCTATGAAAACTTCTCAGACATTCAGGCCGGTAAATGTTGTGTGTGTGTGTGTGTGTGTGTGTATATATATATACACACACACGATTCCTCTATGTGTTGAAATTCATTTCTTTGAAAAATTTTGAATCCATGTTTTTTTTTGTTTTTTAAAACATCTCAACATGTTTGTCATGATTATAAAACAATCACCTCTGCTACAAACTGGTGACCAACATTAATTGTACCTAATACAAACCATGCCACCAATCTCCCACAAATGTTTTTTTATTTTACATATATTACTCTTTATATAAAAATATATAATTCAAGAGAGAAAATATACCTTATGTACACACTGGAACAAGAAAGAAAAAAAAACCTATAAGCTTTGCTATTAGAAAATGTACGCGTGTAGGGATACATCCCCCAGAACTGGCTGCAATTAAGATGCCCTACCCTTGAAATCTATGTTGTTGGCAAGGAATCCTGTTTTCATTATATTCAGGAGCAACCAGAGGAATAGCAGATGGTTCATGTGTGTTACTTTTTATAATGTTGAATAGAATAACATTTAGCAAGTGTCTTCAAAGATAGATAATTCGAAGGAGGAAATACATAGAAGAAAGAAGCACAGATATATAAATGATGACACCATAACCTCCTGGCATCAGTTTAAACTGACATCTTCCCCACTCCCATTTTGTGAGCATTTTTTTTTAAAACTTAACATTTTCTTTAAAATTTCCAAAATATTTCAGTGAAATATTCACTTTCCAAAATGTATATGCTGGCATACAAAGTACATTATATTTGCCATCCAGAACATCTCCACCACCCCATCATATTTTAAAATGCATGGTACTGAATTTATTAAATAAATTTAGTAAGCATATACTTTCTTTTCACTTAAATTCTAATTGAAAAAAAAAAAAAAAAAAAACAGTGGGGAGATATTGTCAATTAACTACCAAAATCTACAATAACTCATAAGTGGGTGCTGTGATCTCGGTAGGTTATTACAATAACCTGAATGACTTTTCCCCTGCTAAACATCCACCTTTTTTCGCTATTACTGAATGCAATATTTAAACAGTTTGTTGAGGCACACATCCAGTTGTGTTTTCATTCAACATTGAAAAAAAGAAGGTAAGGTAGGGGGTTAGCCTACTGTCAAAAATCTCCCATGCTAATAACTTACCATAAACCACAGGATTTAACGTTCACATTTTATACCTTGAGGATAAAACAGCCTCCTATTTGGTAGTGGGGAGATTTAAGGTTAAAAGGTTGCCTTGTACACCAACATATACGGTACAGAAAAAAAAATCAGTTTAGATGGACACCAGGAGGATAAAGCTGACAAAAAATAGATTTCTTTTTTTGGTTTAAGCTGACATTAGTAGTACTATAGGTGTTTTGCCATAGTATTTGTACTGTGGGATTTTCAAACACCCCAGTTAAAATACTGTACAAAT